GGAGGGTCAGAGAGCTCTCAGAATTCATCAAAAATATCTTAATTTGTGTTTCGAAGATGAACGGAGGTTCAGATCGTTACGGGTTCAGATCGACATGAGGGTGAGTAATTAATGACAGAATTTTCATTTTTGGGTGAACTAACCCTTTAATCGGCCTGAGGAATAACTCTCAGATACTGTATTTGGTATGAATATGAAGGTTCAGTAAGAATTTTTGTATGAATCCCTTACGAAACAATCAAGTTCTTTTCTAAATCTTTTATTGTCTTCTGTTCTGTTGGTAGATGTGTTTCTTTTTTTCTCCGTTCTCCGCTCAGGTTACTGGTCATCCGGGTAGTTTTCTATTTGAGGCCGATAATGAGCAGCAGGTGAGCTCTTGGACCACAGAGCTCAGAGAATGCATCACCAGCAGGTGAGAGCGGCGCTTTCTGCGTTTGAACTAAACTTACCTCTGAAGATCCCAGACATCTGCTAAAGTTCCTGACATTCCCCTACTGAGAAAACCCACTCACTTCCTCTTTTACACACATACACACACACACACACACACACACACATAGAATAAAACCAAACTTAGTGCTAAAGAAATCCTCATCAGTTGGGTTCTCGCATATTTTAGTATTTTTAAAAGTCTTAATTTAGATGTGCTTGGTTTGTTTGCTTGCAGACATGTCCACACACACACATACACACACACACCATCTGTGTGTTCTGCACATGCTGAGTCTTTTACAAAAGGTGTATTTGTGTGTGTGCAAACGCATGTGTTTCATTTCCTTTTATTGGTGTGAGGGTACTGAGAACTCAAGCCTGTGTGAATATATCAATGTGCGTTTTAGGAAGAGAGAGAGAGAACGAGAGTGAGGTCTTCCTGTTATTCTGATTACTAAGAATCTCAAGAACTTGACTCGGCACATCTCATGGCCTCCTTTCTCTCCATGCCCCCTTCTCTCTCTTTTTTTTCTCTCTCTCTCATTTGCCTTTTTTTTTACACTTTTTTTCGATCCACCCTTTATGCATGCATTCGTCTTGACATAAGAGCATTGTATACAATAGTGTTTTCACTTGTCCAAGAATTTCACGACACATTTCCTGACTCGAACCAAAAGCTTTTGTGCTGCTTTCTCCCGCAACTTCCCCTAAAGCCCCTCCCCGAGTCTTGCTTCTGCTCTCTTTCTGTGTCCTTTCCTTCATTTAGTCCCTATAGGTTTCAAAGCCACGTCTGTTTTTCTGTGTAATTCTCGTCCTATAAGATCTGCTCTCCTCTTAACCCAGTTTCTTGCTGTGTTCATTGCATTCATATTTATTCATTTATTTTAATTAGTCACGATTTTCTCCCAGTTTTTCATGAGTTTTTACTAATTTTATTTCTTTTATGTACTAATTATAAATATAATATTTTAATTTAAACGCTATATTTTAATGAATATGTTCATTATATAGTTATTCAAAATAATTATATTTTTAATATATTGTAAATATTATTGTGTGTGTGTGTGTGTGTGTGTGTGCGCGTGTGTGTAAACAAAAAAGTAAAAGTAAAGCAGCATGAAAATTGTGTCAAATATCTGAATGTCCAACTTAATTTGCCAAATTGTTCAGTATGCAACAGAAAACTGTCCCACTCATCTTGTTATTCCATTTTTTAAAGTGACAATTATACCAGAATTCATTTTTAAAATCTCTATTTTGATTATTTGAAGAATAGCAATAAATAACAATAATTAATAAAAATTTATTTTACTAAAACAATGTAATATAGTTGCTATAAAATGTATTATGTAATGGAAAATAGGACTAGAAATAAGGTAAAATAATGTAATTATTTTAAAATAATAAAAATATATATTTTAAAGTGTATCTATTAAAATTTATTTTTAAAAAAGAAAAACATTCTTTAAAATAAATGCCAGCTGGTTTTATGCTTTGTAATGTAATGCAGTGACATCTACATTTGTAAGTGTTACTTAAGGGTCCACATGCTTTTTAGGGCCGCTGTATGCATGCCAAAAAATAACTGTTATCGTTGTTGAAAGCTTTGCTTTGTAGCGTGGACGCAGCTTAGCATATGTGATGGGATGTTATTGACCGCATGACATTCTGTGACCTCTTCATTATGCAATTAAAGGAGTTCATAGATGTTTATGAGAGTGTGTGTGTGATTCCAGGTCAGATAGTGTGGATGGAGAACCGTTTCCTGTTAGCGACTCGCTCAACACAGCTCGCAGAGGGAGTACAGAGCCCGGCGGCCAGGGCGAGTCACGTACACACACACACACACACACACTCTCTCTCTTACTTAAATATCAACACTTATATTAAAGGGTTAGTTCACCCCAAAATGAAAATTCTGTCATTAATTACTGACCCTCACGTCGTTCCAAACCCGTAAGACCTCCGTTCATCTTCGGAACACAAATTAAGATATTTTTGATAAATTATTAATCTAAAATAACTGAGAACTGAAGACATTTGTGGTTGAATCAACCAAAACATGGTGTAAACGGGCTAAAAACTGTCAATTTTGATGTAATGGCATCTTTATGTTTTGGTTATACTTTTGAAACGGTGTGACAGTTTCCTTTTCTGCATAGATTTCCACTATTGCATGTGTTTTTATAAACTAACAGATGCGATGAAATTATTTTGCATGGTAATGGACTGCTCTGATGTCTGTAAACTTTCTGTCTCATATGTGTGTGTGTCTCCGCAGGCTCTCTGGGTTTTGGACTCGCAGAGCACGCCTACAATAAAACGGATCACTTCCTGTCCTCTTACCCATGGTTCCATGGGCCCATATCACGTGTGCGGGCTGCCTACCTTGTACAGCATGCCGGGTTCAGCGGTCATGGGAACTTCCTCGTGAGACAGAGCGAGACGCGGAGAGGAGACTACGTACTCACGTTTAACTACCAGGGCAGAGCAAAGGTACATCATCATTATCATCATCCTCATCCTCATTATCATGAATGACAAAAACATTTCATTATTTTCATTAGGGATATACAATATCAGTGACCAGTTTATTCTTTCTATTATTATTATTTGAGATGTATTTATATATTTTATATTAATAAACTGTTATAATATTACAAATATTAAATAAAAAATCTATATTATTATAATAGTAATAATATAAAATAATAAAAAAATGTGTGAAAACAGTGACATGCTAGCCACATATATAAAAAATAAATATATTTATATACTTATATATTCACAATATAATTTATTTAAATTGTATTTATTACATTTTATTTACATTTTAATTAATATGTATTCTTAATAAAAGAATCCTGAAAAAAGAATTACAGGTTCCAAAAAACATGAAGCAGCAACATTGATAATAAATCAGCATATTAGAATGATTTCTGAAGGATCGTGACACTGAAGACTGGAGTAATGATGCTGAAAATTCAGTTTTGCATCACAGGAATAAATTATATTTTAAAGTATATTAAAATAGAAACTGTTATTTTAAATTGCAATAATACTTCACAAAATAACAGGGTTTTTTCTGTATTTTTGATCAAATAAATACAGCCTTGATGAGCAAACTTCGAGAAACTTCAGTAAAAAGTATTAAAAATCTTACTGATCCCAAACTTTTGAACGGTAGTGTGTGTGTGTATATATATATATATACAAACACACACACATACACACACACACACATATATATATATATATATACACATACATACCACACACACTTTGTTTTTGTTGGCATCACTTTTTTTATTCAGTCAGTGTTTTAAAAGAAGGCAGTAAGCAATTATTTTTTACTGTATATTATATTGATTTAATAATATTTTATTTAAAAAAAACACTTATGAAAAACAAAGGATAGAACCATGTAAATGTATGAAATTGGCCATCATAGCAGTAGTGAACAAATATGGATTTTTCATTATTTTTTATTATTATTTATTTGTATTTGATGACTTATTGACTTATTCTTTTTTTATCATAATAGTTCATTTTTATGTATGTTTCTTTTATTGCTATCAGGTTTTGGCTTCTAAACAGGGCTTATTTTGTCCTATTCATTTTTTTTCTGATTGTTTTAAATGATTATCTGTCTTTTTTTACTGTGCTTTATATTGTTTGAATACTATTGTAATTAAAAACACACACACACACACACACAAAAAAAACAACAGAACCATTTAAATGTGTAAGATTGTCCATCATATCATTATTAGTTTTAGTCATTAAAAAAAAAATGTATTTGTTAAAATTGTAGAAGTATCAAGTATATCAGATCTCTATATTAGTGTGTTCCATATTGCTTAGCAAGGCAAACCTCACTATGACTGATGCACATCTTTCTGTTCATGTCTGTATTTATATTGCATTTTCCACTGTTTTTCTTCCTTTGCAGCATTTGCGTCTATCTTTAACTGACTGGGGTCAGAGCCGTGTGCAGCACCTGCGTTTCCCATCAGTCATGGACATGCTGAGTCACTTCCGCAACTGTCCCATCCCGCTGGAGTGCGGCGCCGCGTGTGAAGTTATGTTGGCCAGTTATGTGCGGCTAAACCCCACTCACGCAGGTAAGGCTGTATTTTGCATAGTTTTTATTAAGAATGCATTTTGACTATTATATTAACATTTTTGCATATTTGTGACAACAGCACATACATCATTTGCAGCAATAGCACACAAGATGAACAAGTCATTTGCTTGAAACTTCAAAAACATTAGGGCTCATCGTGATTTTGCTCTTTCTGCTTTCGTTCTGATGGCTTAATGTGAGCAATATAACACATAAATGCCACAATGTGACATTTTGGAGGTCTTTTAAACAATATCACTTATGTCACAACAGATGTTTTCTTAGTAGACAACTTGATTTGAATCACTTCTGAGTCATTTTCACAGTCTGATGTAAACCATGTGATTTTGCAGGTCGTAATAGTTATTGGTTTGATTTAGTCACCAAAGCCAATTTTTTTCACACATTTGGCGCTTGGCAAGAATTAATTTTGGATTTTGTTTGTAAGCCACATTAAAAAGCATAATAAAAATGTAATAAATCTAGTTTATGTGAGCATACACTGTTTAGCACTGCACTGTTAAACTTATATAATGTAGGATAGTATATAATAAAAAAATATATTACATAGCAGTTATTTATCTATAAATGCTCAAGCAGCTAACATGCATACAATTTCTTTCTTGTCTAAGTCACACACACACACACACACACAGCTCGACAGGATCCGTTTTCCTCTTATGCTGTGTGGTTTAGATTGGTTTTAGTAGTTCAGAGAGACCTGACACAAGGAAACATGCACTCTCTCAAATACACACACACACACACACACACACACACATAATCGTCCATACACTCATACCTATATCATCAGAACTGCAGACTCTGTGACTTCAGACTAATCTGCCATCAAGTTTCTGTTTCCTGCAGTCCCTCCTTCACAAGCTGTAAAATACACACATATACACAGAGCCTGTTTTATCACATACGTACATATACACATTTTAATAACATGCCCTATTTTGTGCTCATACTTCTATATACTTCAAAGTTCAAACACACTCTGTGATACTTGTAGAGGATGCAGAGCTTGAGAGTGTGAAGACGATGCCCTCTATGGGATACAGGGAGTATAAAACGGTTATTTAGGTTTATTGTCAGATTTAAAATAGTTGATTTCCATCCATAATAATTTCTATTGATGGGCATCATTGTAAGTATACAGTACACTTACCTTTCAAAAGTTTGGGGTCATTGTTTTTAAAAGATATCTCTTATGCTCACCAAGGCTGGAATTATTTGATTAAAAATTCCGTAAAAACTGTAATATTGTGAAATATTTTTACAATTTCAAAAAAAAAAATCAATTTTCTATGTAAATATATTGTCAAATGTAATTTATTCCTGTGATGCAAAGCTGAATTTCCAGCATCATTACTCCAGTCTTCCTTCAGAAATCATTCTAATATCCTGACTTTCTGCTCAGGAAACTTTTCTTATTATTATCAATGTTGAAAACAGTTTGCTGCGTCACCTTTTTGTGGAAACGTGATAGTTGAATTTATAAAAATGACCCCATTCAAAAGTTTACATACACATGATTCTTAATACTGTGTTGTTACCTGAAAGATACACAGCTATTCTTCAGGAAAATCCTTCAGGTCCCACAGATTCTTTGGTTTTCCAGCATCTTTTGTGTATTTGAACCCTTTACAACAATGACTGTAGGATTTTGAGATCCATCTTTTCACACTGAGGACAACTGAGGGACTGAAGGCTTTTTCAGGAAAAGTAATAAAAAATGGAAAGTAATTGGTCAAAAGTTCTGGTAACTTTTGTGAATTTTACGAATCAAAACGGTGAACTTCAAATTTGATAGTATTATTTTAAGTGTATTATTTTAAGAGTGAGTTTCTGATCATGTATAGTGTTGGATGGGACAATTTGTGATTCTACATTTATAAGGGAAGAAACTAAAATGACATTGAACCTAAATCAAAACTTTATGTACCTTTAATACTAACTACAACTAAAAACCAAAATGCAAAACGAAAACTTTAAATTTTTGTAGCAGCTATGTGCAGGGCCGTCCTTAGCTGACGTGGGGCCCGGTGCGAGGTAGGTAGCGGGACACCCCCCCCGGTCCGTTCTCGATCGCGTTGGGGGGGGGTACGTTCGCCGCGGGGCCCCCTCAAGCTCGGGGGCCCGGTGCGACCGCACCAGTTGCACCCCCCTAAGGACGGCCCTGGCTATGTGTTCTCTCACTGTTGTGTTAATGAAGTGTTTTCTCTGTTGCATCTCTCTAGGTCAGAGTTCGGCTATCGGCTCTCCGGTATTGGTGCCCTTCTCTCGCTGGAACTCAGAGCCGAGTCTAGCTCACTGTAGTCCGGATTCATGCCCTCACTCCAGCCCCACCACGGCCCAGTCGTTAGCATTATCCGCGCTCCCGCATCGCACACCCTCTTCGTTTCCAGACCGCCCCGTTCCCGTCCCCCTGCGCCGGAGCGAGTCGGTGGGCCGCAGAAACCTGCTCCGCCACCCCAACCCGCTGCCGCCCCTACTGCCCAACCAGGACTCTGACTACGAACTGGAGCCACCCGACAGGGGGCGCAAGAGAGCCATCGACAACCAGTACATGTTCTTCTGACAGAGACAGAGGATGAAAAAGAATAAAGATGAAAAAATGCTCCAGAATTCCCGGCCGGATGGAGAGCATCCGGCAGCCAAACGGAGAAAAGAGTTGGAGTCATGCGAGATTGCGCACAAGACTCGGGGTAGAGGCACCTGCGCGTGAACGATACTGCCAGACACCTGACACCCAGCCCTGCCAGCTGTCTACCTTGTGAATGTATTATACAGATGTTTCACTATCAGATCGGTGTGTATTGTAGAATAGCTCAGAGGAGTTGTTGGATGGGAACGTTTGGCGATGGCTGGTCAGTAAGTCGAACACAAACCAAGGGTCGAGTCAAACACGTCCGTGTCTACACTGGAAGCGGACATCGCGACAACTTGAGGCCGTCTACACTGGATACATTCACAATCAGCTGTAAGCTCAAGCCTAGAGTTTAGTAATCAACGATTACTAAAACGACAATAAAATCAGTTTGTCGATCAGACAAAAAAAATCTTTCTTTTCGACCGAAATACAGTATAAAATTGATTTTGCATGTATTCATTAATTTGATAACTAATTTTACGATCGTATTCCTACAACTGCATATGCTTATAAACAAAATCAGTAAAATTAGTACGCCAGACCAGAAGGCTAAACTTCAGAGATTGGAAAAATTACAATAAAATCAGTTGAAAAAGAAATCGTCATTTTCATCAGAAATCCATTACAAAATAGATTTTGCATGTGATAATTTTATAATTATTTTTAAGTATGTTAGTACTCTTACAACTGCATATGCGTATGGTTAGAAACCAAAAATGTTTCAAGTATACCAGACTAGAAGGCTAAGCTTCAGCAATTAAGAAAAATAACAATATAATCGGTAGTAATAATCGGTAATAGTCGGGAAAAGAAAACTTTATTTTTAACACAAAATTACAAAATTATTATTATGAATAATTTTATAATCGATATTAATTATGTTAGTATTCCTACAACTGCATATGTATATGGATCTTTTTTTTTTTAAATGATTCAAATTATTATGTCAGACCAGAAACATCATGAGCTGGCTTTGATATAAGGGTCAGAAGTTATTTAAACCTGTAAAGAATACAATTTATTAAAAAAATTTAATAAAATCACTTCATTTTAGATGTGTCTGGAGTCAGAAATGGGGCGTCCACATCAGGTGCTCACAGTGTAGACCGCTCCGGAGTGATTTAGTTTTGTCACAGGTGTCCGGTGTAAATACGGTGGTAAACATCCAAAAGATTCAAATAGTTTTCAGTCTGGCTGCACACACACACACGCACATACTTTCAGATTGTTTATTTCATGTTCAATTGTAGTAATACACAGGTTTCTTTATGTTTTGCGTAGTAAAAAAACAAATAATATAGATTGTAGAACCACAGTTTTACATCAACACAGCAAGTCTTGTCATCTTGGATTCTAGAGGTTTACAGTTTCATCTGACCAAAGAGTAAAATTAACCAAACCAGACCAGCAATACGTTTTATGCCTCAATCATCATATTTTATAATGAATTTGTTTTACCCTGTGACTTCATTCTTTCTATCTGTTTTAACACATTTTAATACTAGTGGAAATACTACTTTTAAACTAACAGCAACCAAATCTGACACCATAAATAGTTGATTTTAAGCTATTTGTCCATTGTTTTTCAGTAAGCGTATTACAAAAACAAAACAAAACAAAAAAAACATTGCTTGATGTTTTCGGAGCTTGTTCTCCTTTGTCTCTCTTTTTGAATCATTGTGAATGTCTATATTTGTGGCTTAACACTACCACAATAATCAAATCTGTATCAAGCGCACATACCCGACTTTATATCTCATTCATACATAATTTGGCGAATCTCACATTTCACCCTTAAAGGAACACTCCACTATTTTTGAAAATAGGCTCATTTTCCAACTCCCCTAGAGTGATGAGAAAAAAAAAAAGAATAAATATTGTTTTACTTTCTAATTTGCACCGGAGATTAATTGTTAAATAAGGTCATTTAATTTTGGAGCCATAAAACAATATTTTACACTAAAGCCTTTCCTTAAATTAGTGTATTAATCAATATGATAATATTATGTTGATTAATATATTCATTTATTATTTTATAATTCATTTTAACAATTATATATAACTATATTTTGCATAGAAGTAAAAAATAAAATAACATTTTAGGACCATAAATATTAGTCATAATATCTTACACGATTCCCTGTTTTACAGTTACTTTAATGTGTCATTTTTTCACAGTATTAGAAAAAGTCTGTAATGCAATATTAGCATACATTTCTGGCAGTACACCAGATACTTTACAATTTAAATCTTATATGATTTTTTGCACTATGGTATTGGGGAGAATAATGCAAATATTCAGCACTCTAAGTGACTGTAAAACTATGATATACAGTATATGTTGCTTGTATATATCCTTATTATATAGCCTATTGTTTTCAATCCCTTATGCGTGTATTATATTCATTTTTAAGTCAAACCTTATTAAATGTCAATGTACTATGGTACTGTTTGATTAACAACACTTCAAAAAAAAGTGCCATGGTACTTTACTATTGTATTTTGGATATGTGGCCCTGTATGTACAGTAAATACCATGGCATATTTAAAGTATGGCACAATACTTTTTCTATAAAGGTGTAGTACCAAAAGGAATGCTTCTGGGTGTGGGACCATGTACTATGGTATTATCATGTTAAAACCATGATCCATGAATTTCCATAGGCTATCACCATCTGATGCCATCACTTGTACATAACAGTATTTGAGACATATGTACTAGTCTAAACATTTGACATAGACTTTGATGGATGAATGGAATTCAGTGCATCAGTGCAAAAACCAACAATTCAGTGACTTCCAACCACCTTAGTCACGTACATTTCAGATCTGACAGACCAGAGCAGAGTTTGAAAGCAACTCGTGTGTGTGTGTGTGTGTGTGTGTGTGTGTGTGTGTGTGTGTGTGTGACGTCAGCGCCTCACGTCAGCACCTTGCGGAAATACCGCTGAGAGAGAGCAGGTCAATCGGAACCAGTACTCGAGATGTTTTCATCCTAGAAAAGAGAGCTTCAAATCCAAATTAACGCTCTGTTATCTAGTTACGCCACTAACTGAGTTAGTGCACTTGTTCTCCCATCCGGTGCCGGTTCCGGTTAATAGGCGCAACAGAAAAAGAGGGACAAAATGTCCCTCTTCCAGTCAGCGCTCGATTTCCTGGCCGGGCCCGGCGGATCCGCCGCCGCCAGCCGGGATCAGAACGACTTCGTCGGTCAGGTGGTGGAGCTCGGAGATCTGAAGCTCCGGATCAAACGAGTCATCGCGGAAGGTAAAAGATTCATTCATAATAGCACCAGGCTAGTCATGCTAACCCCTGCTTAAGATACTGACATGTATTTTATTTAAAACAGCTCTAAATTTGACTGTAAAATGTCCGTAATGTATTCTTAGTCACATATATTAACATTAGCTTTAGTATATATGTATATAATTGTGATTATATAGATGACAATGGACTTTAACTAGCTGGCTAAGTTGTTAGCAAGTCACTTGGCTCTGATACAGCTGACATGAACTCATTTTATATTTCAGATGATAATCTGTATGTTCTTGAGGCATTTAGATAACGTTATATGTATTTGTTATATTCCGTCAATAGCACAACTATATGAATAGTCACGTTAATATAGTTAAATTCATATTCCATAAATTCATCTGTATGTTTTAACTGAACTTAATTTATATATATATATGCACCTGTGTACAGACTGTATTCATACACCAAGGTATTTACATGGTACAAAAACATGGTGGTATCACTGGTACCACTGTTTTTTTTTTGTTTTTGTTTTTTTTGTGGTTTCATTCCTCATAAAATGTGGTATATCACATATTTATGGAAGTCTGTTTCCGCCATGGGACAAAAATGTAAAAGTAATGCTGCTACTTAACTAAAAGTTCTGACGTTGTTTTAAAAAAAAAAAGCCAGAATTCTGAGTTTAAATCTTACAGTTCTGACCATTATTTCTCAAAATTGTGAGTTATAAACTCAGAATTCTGGCTTTTTATCTCATCATATCTCACAATTTTGACTTTTTTCCCCCCTTTGAATTCTTGGTTTACATCTTGCTTTATTATTTCCACCACAAAATAAAAAAAATTGTGTGATACTCAGACAGAGTAATGAGGAAAAAGTCTGAATTGCGAGATTAAAAAGTTGCGAATCATTTTTTTATTTCTTTATTTTATGACAGAAATGGGCTTCCATAAATATTAATACTAATTGTTACTGTAAATTGTCATATTTTTAATATAGCACATACTACTACTGTAGCAGTTTGCAGTAGTACTGAAACTGCATCAATACTACTCTAAAATGTCACATGATGCTTCAGAAATCATTCTAATATGCTGATTTGCTGCTCAGGAAACATTTCTTATTATCAGTGTTGATAACAGTTGTGTTGTTTAATACTTTAGTGGAAACCAGAATTCTTTGATGAATAGAAAGTTTAAAAGAACAGCGTTTGTTTGAAATGTAAAACTTTTGTAACATTATAAATGTCTTTACTGTCATTTTTCATCAGTTTAATGCATCCTTTCTAAATAAAGTGCAAATAGTTCTACTGCTTATGTGAGGTATATTCATATTTTAATTATTATCTGTCAAAGTGGGGTGTTTTGGTCAGACCTATTGAAATCTGTTGGGTTATGTAATATTAACATAACCGCTCATACTGTATAACTCCAGCCCATCATTGACCTTCACTTTGCTCGGGTGTGTTGACATCTACAGGCCCTGAATGGAAACAGAGGGCATTCTGGGTGAACAGGAATGATTTGCATGGTGGTGTTGAGGCATAGTGTTTAGAGATCTAGGCTGGTAAGCAGAAAGTTGGAAGTTTGAACTCTGAACTGATGATCCATGAACAATCAACCGCAGGTTCCTGTCTGTATAATGTGTGTCTTTTGGTGAAGGCATCATTTAAATGACAAAGTATCAGACATGGTATTGTTTACTTAATTCTTTGCATCACAATGACATTTCTGGACTGTAATGTTGGTCATTATTACTGGAAATTGTGTCCAGAAAAGGCTTTTATTTGAACAGAACAGTCCAGATATGAATCTTTGAATCCAGATCATTATGGCTCAGTATGCTTTATATTTGCCTGAGGTCTCTTGCTGTTCCTCTGTCACTTTGTTTTGGACCGTTCCTTGTTAATTTGTGGTGCGTGTGAATGTCAGCGCACTAACGTGAAACTGGAAAGCTTCTTTTGATTCGTGCAGCCTGACTCGGGCCTCCGCTGGTATTCATTTACCCGTTGCCATGGTTACAGGCCGTTTTGGTCACTTGAGGATTGTTTCACAAGTGTCCATAAATACCTGGCTGGCATTGTCACTTTTGTTCATGTGAAGACATACACAACTGACACTGTTGACTGACACATCTGTTCATGGAGCCATACTACTCATTTTAAGAATCAGTCAGTGTAATTCTATTCAACATTTTGTAGCGGAATTGCACATTGCACAAAAATTGCACATCAGTGCATGTTATTCCAAAGAAAATTTTTTGTGTTCGTCTATATATACACACATTTCAGTCTGAACACCTGTGACCTAAAATATTATTATATTTCAATAATTTAATGTCGCATTCACATATTTGCAGTTCTCTAAGGACAGTTAATGATGGCATGGCATGCAAGGAAACTAAAATAAAAGGGAAATAAAATATTTTAAGTTTTAATTATTTTTATTTTTTAATTTATTAGAATTTTAATTACTTGCTTTACATCAACTCACAAACCCCAGTTTGGGAAACCCTGGTGTAGACTGTTGGTTAATAGTTAATGTTAACCAATTACCAAATAGCTATTTAGGTAGAGATGATAATCGCATAATCAATTTTGACAAATAGTCGCACTTTTCTATTTTTACTTATTCACACTTTTCAGTTATTGATTCAGCATTCGGTCTACTGATAAATGGAAATAAATAAATAAATAAAAGTTAAAAATTGCAATATTCCACTTTATCATAATTTGCTTGTCAGTAATATTTCATCTTTTTAATGATTATATATTTTACTGCTATTTTACTGTTATTATTAGTTGTAGTCTTAAGATGAAGATTTCAACCCCTGTAGCTGGTTGCCTAAAATGATAGTCATCTATTTTTCTTCTTTAAGACTGGTCATAACTTTTTTTAAGTCAGTTGCATAAACATAGAATGATCTAATTTGAATCTGAAAAGTAAGACTGATTAGCTCTTTGCTAATTGCTAGTTGGTCAGACCTGTCAGTTCCTAACGAAGAGGCTAAGTTTATGCAACTGGCTCCTGTTCTTTTTAGTTCCTTTTTTTATTTCAGCCACATAACGTCAATTAGGTCTGTGTTTTTAAATCCATTTGTAGTATTTTCTCCACGGCACTTACTCTTGATGATGAAATGTTGTGTAATAGGTTATTTGCTGAGATCAGTGATTCATTAATGTTGTGTAGTGTCATAGCTGTGCAGACTTAATGAGTTCATTCACTCGGTTTGTTGAATAATGACTGCTGAGGGCAGACGTTTCTTTCTGTGTGTATGTTACTCATGTTGTCTAGAAGACTGACTCATTCATGTTGTGTTTAAAGAGAATTTTATAATGCTGGAAAGGTTGTGAATTCCTGACACTCGTGTGCCACTCAAAAAAATTTTCTTCCCTTTATAATAGACTGATTCCAGACTAGTCTACATATATTTTCGGAAATGAGTCCGTCTCATGTCCTGTTGGTGCCACAATCCCAAGTCAGCAAAACTGAATCTGCCAAAATCCTTATTCAGATTGGTGCCTTCACAGTCAACCTAAAATAAACCTAATGATAAAATGTTTCTTCTATTATAGGTGGCTTTGCGTTTGTGTATGAAGCCCAGGATTTGGGCAGCAGTAAGGACTATGCGCTCAAGGTATGATGACGTCATCATCACACATAAACGTTCAGATAATTATATTGACTGCCATTATACTGTATGTGCTAATGAGTTAATTACGCTCTGCATAGTGTGTGTGTGTGTGCGTGTGTGCGTGCGTGACGTCACCGCCCCACGTCAGCACCTTGCGGAAATACCGCTGAGAGAGAGAGAGAGCAGGTCGATCGGAACCAGTACGTTACTCGGGATGTTTTCACACTAGAATAGAGCCTTTCAAATCCAAATTAACGCTCTATTATCTAGTTGCGCCACCAGTTGAGTTAGTGCACTTGTTCTCCCATCCGGTGCCGGTTCCGGTTAATAGGCGCAACAGAAAAAGAGGGACAAAATGTCCCTCTTCCAGTCAGCGCTCGATTTCCTGGCCGGGCCCGGCGGATCCGCCGCCGCCAGCCGGGATCAGAACGACTTCGTCGGTCAGGTGGTGGAGCTCGGAGATCTGAAGCTCCGGATCAAACGAGTCATCGCGGAAGGTAAAAGATTCATTCATAATAGCACCAGGCTAGTCATGCTAACCCCTGCTTAAGATACTGACATGTATTTTATTTAAAACAGCTCTAAATTTGACTGTAAAATGTCCGTAATGTATTCTTAGTCACATATATTAACATTAGCTTTAGTATATATGTATATAATTGTGATTATATAGATGACAATGGACTTTAACTAGCTGGCTAAGTTGTTAGCAAGTCACTTGGCTCTGATACAGCTGACATGAACTCATTTTATATTTCAGATGATAATCTGTATGTTCTTGAGGCATTTAGATAACGTTATATGTATTTGTTATATTCCGTCAATAGCACAACTATATGAATAGTCACGTTAATATAGTTAAATTCATATTCCATAAATTCATCTGTATGTTTTAACTGAACTTAATTTATATATATATATGCACCTGTGTACAGACTGTATTCATACACCAAGGTATTTACATGGTACAAAAACATGGTGGTACCACTGTGTTTTTTTTTTGTTTTTTTTTGTGGTTTCATTCCTCATAAAATGTGGTATATCACATATTTATGGAAGTCTGTTTCCGCCATGGGACAAAAATGTAAAAGTAATGCTGCTACTTAACTAAAAGTTCTGACGTTGTTTTAAAAAAAAAAAGCCAGAATTCTGAGTTTAAATCTTACAGTTCTGACCATTATTTCTCAAAATTGTGAGTTATAAACTCAGAATTCTGGCTTTTTATCTCATCATATCTCACAATTTTGACTTTTTTCCCCCCTTTGAATTCTTGGTTTACATCTTGCTTTATTATTTCCACCACAAAATAAAAAAAATTGTGTGATACTCAGACAGAGTAATGAGGAAAAAGTCTGAATTGCGAGATTAAAAAGTTGCGAATCATTTTTTTATTTCTTTATTTTATGACAGAAATGGGCTTCCATAAATATTAATACTAATTGTTACTGTAAATTGTCATATTTTTAATATAGCACATACTACTACTGTAGCAGTTTGCAGTAGTGCTGAAACTGCATCAATACTACTCTTAAATGTCACATGATCCTTCAGAAATCATTCTAATATGCTGATTTGCTGCTCAGGAAACATTTCTTATTATCAGTGTTGATAACAGTTGTGTTGTTTAATACTTTAGTGGAAACCAGAATTCTTTGATGAATAGAAAGTTTAAAAGAACAGCGTTTGTTTGAAATGTAAAACTTTTGTAACATTATAAATGTCTTTACTGTCATTTTTCATCAAATATAGCACATACTACTACTGTAGCAGTTTGCAGTAGTACTGAAACTGCATCAATACTACTCTAAAATGTCACATGATGCTTCAGAAATCATTCTAATATGCTGATTTGCTGCTCAGGAAACATTTCTTATTATCAGTGTTGATAACAGTTGTGTTGTTTAATACTTTAGTGGAAACCAGAATTCTTTGATGAATAGAAAGTTTAAAAGAACAGCGTTTGTTTGAAATGTAAAACTTTTGTAACATTATAAATGTCTTTACTGTCATTTTTCATCAGTTTAATGCATCCTTTCTAAATAAAGTGCAAATAGTTCTACTGCTTATGTGAGGTATATTCATATTTTAATTATTATCTGTCAAAGTGGGGTGTTTTGGTCAGACCTATTGAAATCTGTTGGGTTATGTAATATTAACATAACCGCTCATACTGTATAACTCCAGCCCATCATTGACCTTCACTTTGCTCGGGTGTGTTGACATCTACAGGCCCTGAATGGAAACAGAGGGCATTCTGGGTGAACAGGAATGATTTGCATGGTGGTGTTGAGGCATAGTGTTTAGAGATCTAGGCTGGTAAGCAGAAAGTTGGAAGTTTGAACTCTGAACTGATGATCCATGAACAATCAACCGCAGGTTCCTGTCTGTATAATGTGTGTCTTTTGGTGAAGGCATCATTTAAATGACAAAGTATCAGACATGGTATTGTTTACTTAATTCTTTGCATCACAATGACATTTCTGGACTGTAATGTTGGTCATTATTACTGGAAATTGTGTCCAGAAAAGGCTTTTATTTGAACAGAACAGTCCAGATATGAATCTTTGAATCCAGATCATTATGGCTCAGTATGCTTTATATTTGCCTGAGGTCTCTTGCTGTTCCTCTGTCACTTTGTTTTGGACCGTTCCTTGTTAATTTGTGGTGCGTGTGAATGTCAGCGCACTAACGTGAAACTGGAAAGCTTCTTTTGATTCGTGCAGCCTGACTCGGGCCTCCGCTGGTATTCATTTACCCGTTGCCATGGTTACAGGCCGTTTTGGTCACTTGAGGATTGTTTCACAAGTGTCCATAAATACCTGGCTGGCATTGTCACTTTTGTTCATGTGAAGACATACACAACTGACACTGTTGACTGACACATCTGTTCATGGAGCCATACTACTCATTTTAAGAATCAGTCAGTGTAATTCTATTCAACATTTTGTAGCGGAATTGCACATTGCACAAAAATTGCACATCAGTGCATGTTATTCCAAAGAAAATTTTTTGTGTTCGTCTATATATACACACATTTCAGTCTGAACACCTGTGACCTAAAATATTATTATATTTCAATAATTTAATGTCGCATTCACATATTTGCAGTTCTCTAAGGACAGTTAATGATGGCATGGCATGCAAGGAAACTAAAATAAAAGGGAAATAAAATATTTTAAGTTTTAATTATTTTTATTTTTTAATTTATTAGAATTTTAATTACTTGCTTTACATCAACTCACAAACCCCAGTTTGGGAAACCCTGGTGTAGACTGTTGGTTAATAGTTAATGTTAACCAATTACCAAATAGCTATTTAGGTAGAGATGATAATCGCATAATCAATTTTGACAAATAGTCGCACTTTTCTATTTTTACTTATTCACACTTTTCAGTTATTGATTCAGCATTCGGTCTACTGATAAATGGAAATAAATAAATAAATAAAAGTTAAAAATTGCAATATTCCACTTTATCATAATTTGCTTGTCAGTAATATTTCATCTTTTTAATGATTATATATTTTACTGCTATTTTACTGTTATTATTAGTTGTAGTCTTAAGATGAAGATTTCAACCCCTGTAGCTGGTTGCCTAAAATGATAGTCATCTATTTTTCTTCTTTAAGACTGGTCATAACTTTTTTTAAGTCAGTTGCATAAACATAGAATGATCTAATTTGAATCTGAAAAGTAAGACTGATTAGCTCTTTGCTAATTGCTAGTTGGTCAGACCTGTCAGTTCCTAACGAAGAGGCTAAGTTTATGCAACTGGCTCCTGTTCTTTTTAGTTCCTTTTTTTATTTCAGCCACATAACGTCAATTAGGTCTGTGTTTTTAAATCCATTTGTAGTATTTTCTCCACGGCACTTACTCTTGATGATGAAATGTTGTGTAATAGGTTATTTGCTGAGATCAGTGATTCATTAATGTTGTGTAGTGTCATAGCTGTGCAGACTTAATGAGTTCATTCACTCGGTTTGTTGAATAATGACTGCTGAGGGCAGACGTTTCTTTCTGTGTGTATGTTACTCATGTTGTCTAGAAGACTGACTCATTCATGTTGTGTTTAAAGAGAATTTTATAATGCTGGAAAGGTTGTGAATTCCTGACACTCGTGTGCCACTCAAAAAATTTTTCTTCCCTTTATAATAGACTGATTCCAGACTAGTCTACATATATTTTCGGAAATGAGTCCGTCTCATGTCCTGTTGGTGCCACAATCCCAAGTCAGCAAAACTGAATCTGCCAAAATCCTTATTCAGATTGGTGCCTTCACAGTCAACCTAAAATAAACCTAATGATAAAATGTTTCTTCTATTATAGGTGGCTTTGCGTTTGTGTATGAAGCCCAGGATTTGGGCAGCAGTAAGGACTATGCGCTCAAGGTATGATGACGTCATCATCACACATAAACGTTCAGATAATTATATTGACTGCCATTATACTGTATGTGCTAATGAGTTAATTACGCTCTGCATAGCAATGAATGAATTAATGTTATTTTAAAGAGCAATATTTACACCCCTGAAGTTTTTTTAGACTCTTTATGAGGGCTTTTTTGCAATAAACGACCATACAACAGTGTTGTTATTGTAAGCTCAAATTAAAAATCTTCGGTAATTGAAATAAAGCTAAAGCAAAATAAAATTAATATTAGACTTAAACTTAAAAAAACCTAAATAGAAATTAGTAATGTCGCCTTGGAAACTAGCTGAAACAAAAATAAATATTTATTCATATTTATTCATATTTAAAAAATAATAAAAATGAAAAAGCACATAACATAATTACTAAAACTTAAACTAAAATATAGCATAGTATGAAATCTAAAAATAAAAACTATATTAATGAATGCTGTCAGTGAACCACGACTCTGTGTAGTAAATGCTGCTCCATCTGAAAGCACGTGCTGGAGATTTACTACTAATCACAGAACTGGCTTTACTGACAAGATACGCATGACAATCATATTCGATTAATCGTGCAGCCCTAACAAGTACATAGTGTGTACATATGGAACAGGACCATAAAATAAAGAGCTACCTAAATTTTAATTGCACAATAATCTCTGTAACACACATTAGCACACTTTGTTGCTGGATGATCATTTAAACTCTGGTCTTGATAAAAGCCAAAACCGCTTTTTATAAAAGCGAAAGGGAAGCTCTTGACTGACTTTACACATTCCACTCTCTCCTTCTGACTTTCTGGCATTGGCGTCGGTTTCCTGTGTTCACATTGACCTCCGCCCTCTATTTCCTGCAGGCCAGCTGGTTGATTTAGTGAAGAAGGTGGAGCAGAGAGGACCCATGTCATGTGACACATTGCTGAAGATCTTTTACCAGTCATGTCGTGCTGTGCAGCACATGCACAAACAGTCTCCACCAGTCATCCACCGCGACCTGAAGGTCAGGCCCCACAGGCTGAATCCTTAAATAATGCTTTATTTACAGAACATCAAAGTAAGATATGAACAAAGAAGACTTTATTTACTAGCTTGCATGTAACATTGCTTATTAAAGCATTAGTATGAATATTGAAAACTTTTCACCCTAAAATAAAAAAAAAAGGAATTCAGAAAGAAATTGCAGCACGATTAATTTCATATAATAAACACAGTGTAAAATATAAAAAAATTTCTTGGCCTTTATTTAATTTAATTTTTATTATAATCAATAGTATAAATAATACTTGTTATTATATTTTATATTTCATTTTATTTTCATATATTTTAGTTACTTTTTCATTTATTTATTAATGTATGTATTTGTTTTTGTTGTTTTTTTTGTAATTTATATTATTCTCAGTGGTGATATTTTTATTACCGTAACTTTGTTTATTTAGCATTAAAAAAAATTAATTTAATATATATTTAAATAAAATGTGTTGATGTAAATCTGCATAATGCAGTGCAATAAATACTGCCATCTTGGTGTGTATATATATATATATATATATATATATATATGTATGTATATGTGTCTCATTTGATCTGTGCCAAATGATTAAGTACATTGTTCAATAACATTTCTTCTTCTTCTTCTGTAGATTGAGAATTTATTGATCAGTCATCAGGGCACTATAAAGCTGTGTGACTTTGGCAGCGCCACCATCGTGGCACATTACCCAGACTACAGCTGGTCTGCTCACAAGAGATCTATGGTGGAAGACGAGGTAAAAAATGCAACAAATGATATTCTCCAAGCAGCCCATCTAGCTTTATGCCACATAAATATTAATACCAGGTGAACGTCACTTTGACATCACTCACTGTCCTCTGATTGGTTCGTTTTGCTATAGTTTTGATAGTGATTCATGGATTGTCACAATAATTGTGGAAATGATTACATTGTTACGTGGCCAGAGAGAAATATTTTGCGGTGATTGTATTAAAATCTCTGGCTATTTCCCGTGGAAGCATTCCCTGATTTAATTGTTTTGTTGATTAAATTAGTTTGTTTGGTTTCTGGTCGTCTTAAATCAGTTATTGCTAGTAAATTGAAAACCCACGCAATCCACAAAGCCCGCCATTTCTCTGCACATGGAATGTCTGTTTGTGTTTATTCAATGCATTTTTGTTAGCAGCTAATTCTAACGAGGACCAGTTTTTAGCATTTTACAATCTTCCAGCAAAGCTTGTAGTAAAGTTGTTATACGTTTATTCTTCTTAAATATTAACAGTTTGAAAACATTGATTAAAAACTACACTACTGTTAAGATGTTTGGAACAGTATGTTTTTTTATCATGGTTTCCACTATTATTACCGTTGTTAATGAGAAATGTTTCTTGAGCAGCAACTCAGCATATTAGAATGATTTCTGAAGGATCATGTGACACTGAAGACTGCAGTAATAATGCTGAAAATTCAGCTTTGCATCACGGGAATAAATTAGATATTCAAATATATTCAAATAGAAAACAGTTATTTGACATTTCAATAATATTTCATATTAGTACTGTACTGTATTTGTTATCAAATAAATGCAGCCTTGATGAGTATAAGAGACTTCTTTCAAAAATATTGTAGTGTAATATATAGTGTGATATAGCATGGAATATAATGAACTATATTTCACAATATTACCATTTTTAATGTATTTTTGATCAAATAAACAGCCTTGGTGGGCATAAGAGACTTCTTTCAAAACATTAAAAAAAATCTCCAACTCCAAACTTTTAAACAGTAGTGTAAATTGTTGAGCAAGTGTTTACATGCTTTAATCCTCAATTATTATAATCCATGCATGCAATCTTTTAACATAAAGACCCACTAAATTACAAATAATTTCCTTTTTCTTTCTTTTTTTTTTTGTTCTCTCTTTATCCCTTAGATTACTAGAAACACAACTCCAGCATACCGGACACCAGAGATGATTGACCTCTATTCCAACTACCCAATAAATGAGAAACAAGACATATGGGTGAGTTAGTTTAGTTATGACTTTTTCCACATTTTCTGTGCTAATTTGGAGGGGAAATCCTGCTGAATATTTGGAAGAATTTGGGAAAAAAAAGGAAATTTGTTTTAGAGACAAAGCAAGTTGATGCAAAATAATGAAATATAATGAAATAATGATAATGAAAGCTTACGAAGGCAACCATTTTTGTCCAAGCCATGTGAAGAAGGCACTTTGGCATTACTTTTCACATAGCACCTGGTTAGCATACAGTGTAACAGGTCTTTTCTTCTTGTCCTTGTTGTGGTTTTTAAAGAGTCTTGGTTTGGTCTCTAGGCTCTGGGCTGCATCCTGTACCTGCTCTGTTTTAAGCAGCACCCATTTGAAGAGGGAGCCAAACTCCAGATAGTAAACGGCAAATACAACATTCCTCAGAATGACACCAAGTACACAGTCTTTCACCAGCTCATCCGTAAGTATCCTGCAGGAACTTAACTACATTCCCTCTTACCAAAATCTCTCCTACATCATATCTTTTTGTTTGTTGTGCATTTGTTGTGCGTCAAAAGCCTTGTGTGTTTGTTTCAGGATCAATGTTGAAAATCAACCCAGATGAGCGACTCTCAATCAACGAGCTTGTTAGCCAACTGCAGGAGATCGCTGCAGCCAGGAACTTCAACCCAAAATCACCCATTACTGAGGTACAAATCGTCTAACAAAAACGTTGTGATGGTCTCTCAGATCAAGTTTTCACTGGTCATTTGTAGGTTTCATGCTAAATCTGCAATGCAAGAGACTAGTTTATAGTAGTCAACAGAAATGTTTTTTTTTTATGGGGGGGGTGGATGATGCCAATATTTATCTCTAGAGCTCAGTGTGGCCAAAATACAATACGTGTATAAAGCAATTTAATTATATCAAATAACATGTACGGAAATTGCAATTACCATTTTTTTTTAAACTCCAAAATCTAAAAAAAAAAAATTTAATTGTATTTACATTTTTTAAAATGCACATAATCCACAAACAAGGCTGTTGATAGATTTTGTAACTGGCACTAGGTGGAATGCTGTTAATTTAAAATAATTTATTTTGAAGATGAATTAATCTGTATTTATTCAAATATACAGTGGGTACGGAAAGTATTCAGACCCCCTTAAATTTTTCACTCTTTGTTATATTGCAGCCATTTGCTAAAATCATTTAAGTTAATTTTTTTTCCTCATTAATGTACACACAGCACCCCATATATAATATATATATATATATACACACACACACATACACGCATATGTATGTATGTATGTTTGTGTAATGTATATATATGCCTTGCATGTGAATACATTCATATAAATTCATTTATTTATTTTATTTTAAATAGTTCTTGATATAATTAATGTATTTATTTATTTATAATGTATGTTATTATTCATATTGTGCAACTTATTACAAATTATATTTTATATTTTTGTTAATTTAAATAGTATTAAATATTTGCTATGTTCTTATGTAATATAAATAAAATTTGTATAGTATTTATTGATATTCATTATATATTACAAATACGTGCTGCTGTCAATAATTAATAATGCACTCAATATGCATTATATTACATAAATAAATAGATTACATGTATTAAATACATTTTAAATTAAAATATATATTAAAAAAAAATTTCTAATGCAATAACACACACACACACACACACACACATATGTACTGTATATATATATATATATATATATATATATATGACCCTTTTAATATGTGTGTGTGTGATATCATTGTGACGTATCATATATATCAACAATATAAATATCTAAATATCAGCATCAGCCATTGATTAAACAATCCTATATAGATTTTCGCAATCTCTCCTTCAGAGCTTCTGTTTGATCGCCTGACTGGTTGGTTTGGTTGAATGAGGCTCTTTTGGAGCTTCATTTGAAACAAACCCCTCATTCTTTGACACTCAGACACACACACACACACACCCGCAGAGACGAGCAGAGTCCCACATACTGATCACAACTCTCTGAAGAGCCATTTAGAGACACCGCTGCACTCTTCCTTTCGAATTCTCTTGTTTTTTCCTTTCCTCCCTCCCTCCGTGACTTCCTGGAGACAAAGCAGCATCTCATCCCTCGTTTTCTCTCTGACCTAATAGCCACTGATCTCACTACATAAGACAGAAACAGAGGCAAGACTGGTAAACAAGAGGGAGGACAAGGGCTGTCCCTGCTCAAAGAACGACTCCTGGATTGATCATTCCTGGATTAATGCACATGAATGATCTAGTTCAGAGCATCCAAACAGCAGGGTTTGAGTGCGATTGTCAGTGTTATGCTCCTGTGTGCACACATGGTGGAGAGGATGGTTTAGATGCATCTGATCTGGGTTAAGAAGGGGTTTCTCTCTGGATTAAAGTGATTACCACCAACAGCCAGAAGCTGCAGAAGATATTCTGCTGTTACTGACTAGCGTGTGTATTCTGGAGTCTGGTCTCCTGCTTTGCTCCTGATGTGTGTGTGCAGTGGACTGTCGTCCTGATGAGTCTGTTAAGTTCATACTACTGTCTGAAGTCTGTGTATGATGGCTATGAATCCCTACAGCTCCTGGAGCAGAACGGAGGGTTCGGGAACAACAGCGCGCCGCTTCCCTCGCAGATCAACAACATAAACAATGCTGGTGAGTACTGCATTCAACTTGTTTTTTGGCAAGTCATTTTCATTGTAGCAGATGTGTAGCTTCCCTTTTTTATTCAAATATGTCACACTTCCTTTGTAATTATGCCCAGTTCTCTTGACTGATGTCACGCGATCTTACAAACGTATTGTAAAGGTGAACAGTCTATCAGTGAAGAGTGTGCTGTTGGATCTTATCTTGTCGTAGGATCTATTGATGCGCTGGCATCCTGTGTTTACATGCATTACGTTTGGAAGTTTCCCTTTGTTTTCTGATGCCTTTTTACATTTTCAGTTCTGTAACATGCATATAGTTAGTTAATTAGTTATTTTAGATAGCTGTTTTTTGTTTGTTAATAATATAGTTTTTTTATTGTTAATTTTTTTTGTTGATATTTGTCAGTTATTGTTATTAATTATTATTAGTTGGTCAGTTATTATAATTTTTTTGTTAATTTACGCTTGTTTTTTTTTTACTTATACAGATTTGAACTTTTGTTATTGATGTTTTTAATGTTTTAGTTATTTAGGTATATTACTTGGTTGTTTCTTTAGTTAGTCTTGTTGCTTGGTTGGATTTTTTATTAATGTTTGTTTGTTTTTTATTGGTTTTTACTTATACAAGTTATAGCTTTTGTATTCTTGTTTGGGTTGTTCATTTTTGTTATTATTTTTGGATGTTGGTTAGTTATTGTTATTCATGTTTGTTTGTTTGTTTTTAGTTTTGTTTTTTAATGATTGTTTTAGTTATTCTTAGTAGTTGTTGGTTGTTTTTTTTTGTTTTGTTTGTTAATTTGTAGTAGTTGTTGTTGTTGTTAATATGTGTTAGTTATTGTTATTCTTAGTTCATTTTGATGGGTTAATTATTTTTTTGGATCTTTAATGTTTTTGGTCGGTTGGTTAGTTATTTTTTGATTGTAATTTGAGGTGGTTAGTTAGTTTACATATACTCTGCTGTGAAATATTTCATCAGCTATGAATCTTCCTCTTTTTAGTTCTTGTGTAAAGTAAAGCTCACAGTTCCCCTCTACAAATGGTGACTTGCAGCATTTAATAATATACACAAGTAATATCCGGCACAGCTGTATTTTTAAAAAATTTTTAATTTTGCACTTTGTTAAACTGCTGAAAAGCTCTTAATACCACAGATTGATATATTCAGACTGAGTTGTGTAAACAATGATTTGTGGCTTTAGGCCCACCAGCTTTTGTGGTAATGAGAAGTACTTTGTTTGTGAGAGATTCATATCTAGGGGTATATTAGACTAGAGAGAGACAGGATAAAGCAGCATCAGTCATGTCATTACACTTTTGTTAAAACTGCACACGCATCGAGTTCATCTGTGTGACTTCTTACCTGACAGACATTCACACACAAATTAATTAAAGTGCTTATACATAAAGACACTCACTCATGCCTGCTAGTTTTAAAAGTAACTTGTTTCAGGAGTTGTAACCCTCCACCTACCATCACACTGTCATAATACTGTCCACAAACAGATAATGCCTCGTACACACCCCTGCCCCCATATTTACCCCAAGAGATGGTTTCTCTGTGCGTTCTGTAAGAGGATTGGCCCTCTGGTCACCATCTGCTGAGTTTACTCTGATTTTCTGAGTAAACACAGTCAGAAAGTGGTAATACCACTCGCGTAACTGCACACTCGATCTTGTTTCTTAATTTACAGTCTAAATATCAGCCCATTAAAAGGATCATATTCTACACTTTTGTAGCTTTTCGTTTTTCAACTTTAATTATATTAACACTTATAATGTTAAACAATATTTGTTGCACCAAAAGACACTGTTTACTTTTACTCTCTCTGACCCTGAAAATTAAGCAGGCTGTTTTTGCTACTTTACCTTTAAGACTTCTGTATCGATATAATCTCTTTTATCTATGCATATTAGCATAGTTCACAAAGTTTTGGTTGGGTTAGTTATTATTATTTGTTAATTTTGTTGATGTCTGTTAGTTATTAGCTATTTGTTAGTTTTGGTTGGTTGAGTTATTTATTTATTTATTTAATAATGTTTATTATGGTCTTTAGTTAACATTTAACTATGAACTAACAATTAACAATATTTTTTATAGTATTTATTTGTCTTTGTTAATGTTAGTTAATAAAAAGTGCAATTGTTCATGCTATGTTGTTATTATTGTTAATCGATGCAACTTCTGAATATATTTTTTCTTTTGAAAAAATATTAGTAAATGTTAGCATTAACTAAGATGAATAAATGCTATTGGTATATGTTAACTAATATTAACAAATGAGACCTTATTGTAAAGTTTTAATAGTTATTCCTGTTACTAATTGGTTGGTTGATTAGTTAGTAGGTTGGTTCATTTATTTATTTATTATTATTATTTGTTTGTTACTGTTTTTAGTTTTTTTTTAGTTATTTAGTTACTTTTTGGTTGAATAGTAATTTTGTATTGGTTAATGTATGTTATTTGGTTTTGCATTCCAATACAAAGGTGTATGAATACCGAATAGGCATTTGATATTAAGGATGCACTGATATAGTGATCCATAAAAGCATTTATTCATGTTATCTAAGTAATTAATAATAAAATAATAGAAGCAGAACCAGCTGTACTAGTCTGTATTGGCAGATGTCATTCTAAATAAATGGTTATTATATTGGCAACTTAAACGTTTAAGCTTTCTGAAGACGTTTAGGAGCATGAAAAAAAAAACGATATAACTGAGACGAGCAGAAGATGTGTGTTGTTTACTTAGTAGTAAGTTTTGATGGCATGAATCTTTGGCCTTTTAGAGTGAACTAACCCCTAGATCTGATCATTTGGGTTGTAAAGAACATTTCTTTGTTCTTGACAAGTGTTATGAGCTGATTGAGAGTCATTGCAAAGAGACATTTCTTGTGTGCATATGTCAAATATATTAATCAAAGCTGTTGTCCCGTAAAAGCTCTTTTGACAAGCGTTGGCCTGCGGTTATGTGTGTGTTTGCATCTCCAGGTGTGTATGACACAGACCCGGCCATGGGTGGAGGCTTCCTGGATATTCTTAAAGGAGGAACCGAAAGATTCCTCACCAACATCAAAGACACTTCCTCCAAAGTCATCCAGTCGGTGGCCAGGTGAGCGATGCATTCAGCCTGCAGTAAAACACCCCTGCGGCTGTCCCACGTTAACTAGTGCACATGCCTTGCTCAAGTGTGTTTCGGCTTGCCTTGGTTTCGTTATGATGCATCTCTTTCCGCCGAGCCATTGACAGATTCAGCCGAATGAAGGAAGAGGTCGTAGTGGTGGAGAGAGTACTAGTAATCTGCTGGCGGTTAATCTGATATCACTTAATCTAGCTCACAAACAATGCCACCCGCTGCTGTCTTTCAGCATGTTTTCCAATGTCTGTGCTCTAAGTCTAAATAGATTCAGAGGCTCTTTTTCATGAGCTGTAGCATTTTAAAGGGGTCATATGATGCTATTTTAAAGATCATTATTTTGTGTATTTGGTGTAACAGAATATGTTGACATGCTTTAAGACTTTAGTCTTTGCAACTTTACATATCTTCTTTATGCACCAAGAGCTTGTAACACTCCAAAGAGAAAGGAAAACTTGAAATCGCATCATATGACCCCTTTAAGGCCTCGAAGACACGATGTCCTGACGTGAAGGCGGTTTCAAAAGGTTGGCAGAATAATTATGCTAGCTTCCAGTCCTGGCCAAATTCTGCAGTAGCATTACAGGTATTCTTCACAGAGAGATGGCATTGTGATGAAAAAATCCATTCAAGATGAAGGACTAAGCAAGAGAATTCTTGATTTATAAATATTTTGTTTAATTTTGAAATTATAATATATAATAATATTTAATATTATAATTAAAAGGGGAGTATTTTACCCAAACATTGCACTGCATGCATTTGTATTTACTATTATAGTAGTTTTTAATTATTTGAGTTAGCTTTCGTTTTTATATTTTCAATTTTCATTTTAATTTTATTTTAACTTTTAGTAATTTTAAGTCTTTAAAAAACATTTTAGCTTTAATTTTATTTTACTTTTAGTTTAACTTTTTGAAATGTTATGTCTCTTGTCATTTTGTTTTATTTTAGTTTTAGATTTAATTTTAGTAATTTTATGTCTTTTGTCATTGTTATTGAACAAAACAAGACAACGAATTGTAAATATTCCTATTTAGCTTTAATTGTTTATTTATTTTATTTTAATTTTGTTTTAATATTAGTAATATTATGTCTTTCGTCATTATTATTTTTTTAAATATTCATATTCAGCTTTAATTGTTTTTTATATAATTAAAAGGGGAGTATTTTACCCAAACATTGCACTTTCGTTTTTATATTTTCAATTTTCATTTTAATTTTATTTTAACTTTTAGTAATTTTAAGTCTTTAAAAAACATTTTAGCTTTAATTTTATTTTACTTTTAGTTTAACTTTTTGAAATGTTATGTCTCTTGTCATTTTGTTTTATTTTAGTTTTAGATTTAATTTGAGTAATTTTATGTCTTTTGTCATTGTTATTGAACAAAACAAGACAACGAATTGTAAATATTCCTATTTAGCTTTAATTGTTTATTTATTTTATTTTAATTTTGTTTTAATATTAGTAATATTATGTCTTTCGTCATTATTATTTTTTTAAATATTCATATTCAGCTTTAATTGTTTTTTATTTTAATTTTAGTTTTATTAGTAGTAATTTTGTGAGGTCTTGTCATTGTTATTTTTTTTTTATATTCCTATTTATCTTCTTTTTTTTTTTAAGTGTTAGTCTTTTTTGTATTTTGGCTTTTTTTTTATGCATTTATTTTCCTATACAGCTTTTCATTTATGTTTTTTAGTTTTTAGTAATTTAGGTAATTTTAGTTCTTATTTTATTTCAGCTTTATTTCAGTTAACAGAACTTATTTTTAATATGTTTTTATTTTAGTTACCAATAACAACACTGACTCAAATACAAAAAATAAAAGCAAAAAATAAATGACAGGATACTACCTCATTACAATACATGCTGCACAGTTATTCCTGCACAATGTACGTGCGAGTTATGATATCCTATTTAACGAATAATTGACTCATATGAGCTGTTCCTTTGTAATGAGTTAGTCTGCGGCCCCTGCTTTTTTGTATGTTTTTCTGTAGAATAGCATATGCTTATGCATCATACTCAAAACTAATGACATTTATAAATGTAAATGGTGTCAATTCTGAGTCCATGTTGATTTGATCATAATTATCTTCATATGAAGGTAAATTTGATCTGTCTAATTGCAGTGACTGGACATTAATCTCTTGGTAAACTCAATCAGCATTTTGTTTATGACACACACTGATCTACCAGATCATAAATTCCCCTCCACTCCCCCTCCATAATCTGTTTGCATTTATTAGTCATGTTTAATAATGTCCCCCTCACGTCTCCACAAGTCTGTCATGTTTATTTCCTCCTCAGTTGGCCCATTTTTGCGTTTTGTTCATTGTCTTGTTTTGTTCATTTTGTTCCTGAATCACGTCTCTTGGTCCCAAATCTCCAACGCCTTGCAGCTCCAGGTAACTATGGGACAGCGCCTGTGTGTCTATGTTTGCGTTATGTGTGTATGTGCAGAGATGGTGTGTGAACTTCACTCCACCTTCATCTCATGGCTGTTTATTCTTAACCACAGTCTGCTCCCATCAGTACAGCATTACCCTGATCAGTAGAGTTTCTTAAAAGTTCAAACAGCTGCCTACTAAATCCATATGTGTGAGTGCTGCTCCTCAAATGACTTCGAAGGAATAGTTCACTATATCCCAAGCCTTCTAAAAGTTATGATCTCTTATGATCACCAAAGCTGCATTTATTTGATCAAAATACAGTAAAAACAGTAATATTGTGAAATGGAATTTTAAATAAAATTAGTAAAATAAATTAAATCTTGCTGACCCCAAACAATTGAAATGTATTGTATATGTCAGAATGAATATAAGTAAGTCACTTTTCCTTTTTGAGTGAACTATTCCTTTAAGTCTTTGCCTTTTTAGACCCATATTTCTGCTAAATTTATAATAAAGTTTGTTGACTCGTTGAGTTTTAATACAAGCCATTACTCTTATTCCTGTCGAGGTTTAGCCTGTAATCTAGATGTTCTTTTAGTTCTTTAGTTGTGTTCATGCATCTAAATCTGTGTCCTATTCTGTCTCAGTTATGCTAAAGGAGACCTGGACCTGTCCTACATCACCTCCAGAGTAGCAGGTACACTCGTCTGTGCAATACGGCTTTCAGATTCATTTTGGATACATACATAAAGTTGTTAAAGTTATTTACCTGTCTATATGTATTTGTTTTTGCAGTCATGTCTTTCCCAGCTGAAGGTGTTGAATCTGCCATTAAGAATAACATTGAGGATGTGCGTCTGTTCCTGGATTCTCGACACGCGGGTCATTATGCAGTATACAACCTCTCCAAACGCTCCTACAGACCGGCCAGGTTTCACAACAGGGTAAGAGTGCATAGCAAAGCAGTTAGCTTTTTCTCTAATGCAAATGATTAATAGATTACAGGGATCTAAATTGATGTCTTATCCTAATATCATAAATCAGTGTTGTTATTGTTAACAAAAACGAAAAAATTATTACAAATAATTTGATTGAAAAAATAAAATATTCATATTAGATCACAAACTTTTAAAGTTAATTTGAAGCACTAAAATTAAAACTGAAATAAAAATATCCTAAAGTTCAATAGAAATATAAAAAAAACGAATTAAAATAATGAAAGCATATAACAAAATTATTAGAACTTAAATTAAAATGAAAACTGAATATATGAACAAAATATGAAAATATAAAAATAGAAACTAGTTTAGGTTAAAATATTAATAAATGCTATGATAGTATATAAATGAGACTGAAATAACAATGGAAAAAAAAAAGAGTTAATTTGATATGAATTAAAACAAGGCTGAGTAGAAATACAGAAGCATTTGATTCAACCAATGGCATGAATTTGGGGCAGGGCTGTATTTTTTTCAAACCAGCAGTTTGTAAACAGTTGTTATTTTTGCAGTTCCTTTTGGTGACACTAGTGGTAATGTAATGTCACACCTCACCTTTAAATACGGCATTTTGACAATAAATTTATATTAAATTATGAATCCAGAAAAATTAAACACAGAATTTCTGAAAAATAAAACATTTCATTGGGCCCTAGTATTGTAAAAAAAAAAAAAAAAAAAAGTAATACATTATTAAATTGTTAAAGTTGTATAAATTCAGTTGATTTGACATGCTTTTTAATTTGACATTTACATTTATTGTAAACATTATAATGAGGGGGGAAAATTCAACCATTAAAATGAAAAAATAAAACATTTCATAGGACTCTACATGCTTTACTATAGTTCACTATATCCCAAGCCTTCTAAAAGTTATGATCTCTTGTGATCACCAAAGCTGCATTTGTTTGATCAAAATACAGTAAAAACAGTAATATTGTGAAATGGAATTTTAAATAAAATTAGTCAAATAAATTTAATCTTACTGACCCCAAACAATTGAAATGTATTGTATATGTCAGAATGAATATAAGTAAGTCACTTTTCCTTTTTGAGTGAACTATTCCTTTAAGTCTTTGCCTTTTTAGACCCATATTTCTGCTAAATTTATAATAAAGTTTGTTGACTCGTTGAGTTTTAATACAAGCCATTACTCTTATTCCTGTCGAGGTTTAGCCTGTAATCTAGATGTTCTTTTAGTTCTTTAGTTGTGTTCATGCATCTAAATCTGTGTCCTATTCTTTTATTTGATCAAAATACAGTAAAAACAGTAATATTGTGAAATGGAATTTTAAATAAAATTAGTAAAATAAATTAAATCTTGCTGACCCCAAACAATTGAAATGTATTGTATATGTCAGAATGAATATAAGTAAGTCACTTTTCCTTTTTGAGTGAACTATTCCTTTAAGTCTTTGCCTTTTTAGACCCATATTTCTGCTAAATTTATAATAAAGTTTGTTGACTCGTTGAGTTTTAATACAAGCCATTACTCTTATTCCTGTCGAGGTTTAGCCTGTAATCTAGATGTTCTTTTAGTTCTTTAGTTGTGTTCATGCATCTAAATCTGTGTCCTATTCTGTCTCAGTTATGCTAAAGGAGACCTGGACCTGTCCTACATCACCTCCAGAGTAGCAGGTACACTCGTCTGTGCAATACGGCTTTCAGATTCATTTTGGATACATACATAAAGTTGTTAAAGTTATTTACCTGTCTATATGTATTTGTTTTTGCAGTCATGTCTTTCCCAGCTGAAGGTGTTGAATCTGCCATTAAGAATAACATTGAGGATGTGCGTCTGTTCCTGGATTCTCGACACGCGGGTCATTATGCAGTATACAACCTCTCCAAACGCTCCTACAGACCGGCCAGGTTTCACAACAGGGTAAGAGTGCATAGCAAAGCAGTTAGCTTTTTCTCTAATGCAAATGATTAATAGATTACAGGGATCTAAATTGATGTCTTATCCTAATATCATAAATCAGTGTTGTTATTGTTAACAAAAACGAAAAAATTATTACAAATAATTTGATTGAAAAAATAAAATATTCATATTAGATCACAAACTTTTAAAGTTAATTTGAAGCACTAAAATTAAAACTGAAATAAAAATATCCTAAAGTTCAATAGAAATATAAAAAAAACGAATTAAAATAATGAAAGCATATAACAAAATTATTAGAACTTAAATTAAAATGAAAACTGAATATATGAACAAAATATGAAAATATAAAAATAGAAACTAGTTTAGGTTAAAATATTAATAAATGCTATGATAGTATATAAATGAGACTGAAATAACAATGAAAAAAAAAAGAGTTAATTTGATATGAATTAAAACAAGGCTGAGTAGAAATACAGAAGCATTTGATTCAACCAATGGCATGAATTTGGGGCAGGGCTGTATTTTTTTCAAACCAGCAGTTTGTAAACAGTTGTTATTTTTGCAGTTCCTTTTGGTGACACTAGTGGTAATGTAATGTCACACCTCACCTTTAAATACGGCATTTTGACAATAAATTTATATTAAATTATGAATCCAGAAAAATTAAACACAGAATTTCTGAAAAATAAAACATTTAATTGGGCCCTAGTAATACATTATTAAATTGTTAAAGTTGTATAAATTCAGTTGATTTGACATGCTTTTTAATTTGACATTTACATTTATTGTAAACATTATAATGAGGGGGGAAAATTCAACCATTAAAATGAAAAAATAAAACATTTCATAGGACTCTACATGCTTTACTTGATAAAACTCATAATTGTGTCGTGTGTGCAGGTATCAGAGTGCGGTTGGCAACCTCGACGAGCTCCTACACTGAAGAACTTGTACAGTATTTGTAAAAACATGCACCAGTGGCTCAAACAGGACCAGAGGAACATCTGCATCGTACATTGTCTGGTGAGTAAACACACACACTGCCCACAAACAAACTATTACACTGTGGTCTTTGTTGACAAGTCATAATCTTAGTTTTAATAACATATTTTAACATCCCAATTAATTTAATTTCCGCATATTCTGAAGAAACATTTGGCTTGGGTATCCTGGTGTGTCCTGTCATCTTCATGTTGCGGCTGTGTTTTTGTAGGATGGACGGGCAGCGTCGGCTGTGGTGGTTTGTGCGTTCCTCTGTTTCTGTCATCTGTTCTCTACAGCTGAGGCCGCAGTTTACATGTTCAGCATGAAGCGATGCCCACCGGGCATCTCGCCCTCACACAAACGGTAACAACTTCTTGTCATGTTCTCACTCTGTTCCTTTGAATTAAGACGTACCACACACCACAATGTCAGGGCAGGTTGTTCTAGAACAGAAATAGACGCTCGGAGGATTAATTCAGCAGCTCAGGTGCATGAACATGAGCAGTGAGCCGCAGGTGTGACGGTTCTTTAGTGCTGAGGTCACTTCCTGCCACAACTGTTCTTTGGCTCGCCAAGAGCTTCTGCCGAACTTCGCAAGCTCATGGGACTCTTTTGATTCTAACCACGTGTGAATGTGCGAGGTTGCTGGAGCTGACTTTGTCAGCTAAAAGTAAAGGAAGTGACATAACCTCAAACAGAACATTCAGTTCTACTGCTCACCAGAACCTAGGCAGCATTACTTTATCATTTCTATATATACTATCAAAGAATTCATTACAATTTGGAATTTATATGTTCAGATTTCATTTTAATTTTAGTTTTACTGATTTTGTTTTGTGCTTTTGTCATTTTAGTATTTTTTTTTTACTTCGGTTTTAGTTTTAGTCATTTTAGTACTTCAATTTTAACTTATTTAAATCAGTTAGTTGCCAAGGGGAAAAAAATCTGATTTTGTATTTAATATTCATTTTGTTTTAGATCAGCTTTATTTCAATTAACAAAAATATTTGTTATAGTTTTAGTTAACAATAACCAGGGTTATTATTCTTAACTAAAACTGAAACCACAAAAATATTTTTATTACTTGATATAAAATATGACCTGAAAACTTTTATTTCATTTCATTCACTGTTATTTTATTTCAGCTAGTTGCCAAGCTATTTCTCATTTTTGTTTAGAATAAGTTGAAGTGCTAAAATAACTAAAATCGAAATCTTGATTAAAAACTATATAGACATATTTAACAAAAAATAAAATAAAAAAGACAAATATGAAACAAAATGACTAAAACTTTAACTAAAATTCAAATATAAGATAAATGTTAAAATACCAAACGATGCCTCAAGACTCGTTTATTATGTGTTAACTTGTTAACTTATACCATTTTGTCTCCTGTCATAATTGTATAAAGTTGGTAAACCTTGTGACTTAAATAATGCATGCAAAAATATACTTCATAGAAAAAAGTATTTATAGAGGTTTTATGGAAGTCCAAACAGTCACCTCGGTAATGCATGAAAGGACTAAAATATTAAAGGGTGCTTTTAGGCAACTTTGCAACACAGAGAGCACACATTTGTGCAAATATCTTACGTGTGATATCTCCTGATGTGTGAAATCTGCTTGTGAGGATGTGGGGTTCATGGCAAAGATCGTAATGATCTCAGTTTTCACTGTTCATGAGAATGAGGTCAAATGTCTCATTCCAGAGCGTAGATGTTAGATGATGAACCATGATGATTGTGCTGAATGTTAATGGTGCTTGCTAAGCAGTCATCCCTATTACAGTTTAAAAGCTTCTCTATTGCTTTTTAACAACAACATAAGAACAGTAGTTTGACCCTGACTTGCGATTTGAGCAAATTAAAGACAAACCCACAATTGTGTCTTTTTGTAAATTATTTTTAATTTCAAGAATGAATGCATTTGACACTTGTTACATACTTTCAGTCTCTCCCCAACTAAACCAGACCAACTAACTCAGGAGAAATACATTTAAATAATCATAATATCATTAATAAATAGTTACAATTAAATACGTAAATAATTAAAAAACTAAACAAAAAAAATAATCACCATTGCGCATCTTTAACAAATTGTACCTCAATTGTCCAGCAATTTTAAGCCACCATGATAAAATAATTGACCAAAATTAAGATGTTCTCTGCATTTTTTGTGACAATTTGCATTTGATTGTGAGACTAGGAGTTTCTGATGTTAGATGATGAACCGTGATTTCACAGGTTGCTAATGGTGCTTTCTTAGCAATCAACATTATCATGGTGTAAAACTTCACTATTGGCTTTTAAAAGCTCTTTGTTCAAACCCCTGGTGTATTGAAATCTTTTCAAATATGATCTTTTGCATATAGAAAAGTAACAGCCTTAAACAAAGGGTCAGAGAGGAGGGTGAAAATAGGCATGTAAAAATAAATCACTGTTTTTTGTAAAAAGCCTTGATTAATATCTTAGGCAAAGCAACTACACATTCTGTTCCTGAGCTACATATGTTCAACAATTTTGTTAATTTTGCCATGGAAAAGTTACAAAAGTCTTGGGTATAGCCTTGTAAATTTGGGTTCAGCTCAAGGTCAAAATATGTAGTTTAGCTGTAGGTGTATGTTATAACTGCATGTTGATGAATTGCATTAAGCGATGACTGTTGTTGTTTGTAGGTATATTGAGTACATGTGTGATATGATGGCAGAAGAGCCCATAATTCCCCACAGCAAGCCTATAACCATCCGCTCTGTGGCCATGACTCCCGTACCGCTCTTTAATAAGCAGAGAAATGGCTGTCGGCCGTTCTGTGAGGTTTACGTCGGTGACGAGCGCGTCGCAACCACTTCACAGGAATATGACAGAATGAAGTAAGTCAACTTTGCTAATGGATATTATTGAAAAAAAAGAATGTACACAGTGTCTGTATCTCTTAACTACCTTTGGCGTTTCTGCAGGGATTTTAAGACGGAGGACGGGCGAGCGGAGATTCCTCTGAATATAACTGTGCAGGGAGACGTGCTGATAGTGATATATCACGCACGCTCTACGCTGGGTGGACGTCTGCAGGCCAAAGTAAGACACACAGTGACTGATATTTATGCATGTTTATAAGCATATTATAAATGCAATAATTATAAATGCATATTATAAATGCAAATAAAATGTTACTGACCAGTTGGCTGGTAAATTTATTAGAAATGGCATTATTATGATATAAATGGCAATAATGTGTTTTATATAGAACAGTTGGTATGTTGTAATGTATGTTAAGTTTAATTGTATATTGCATGATTTTTTTAATTATTTTTAAATATTTAATATAATTAATATTATTTTTCTGATTAGGTCATAATAACATAATATTGTTCCCGATCACAACACAAATTACATTCAAAACCGTTAAATGAACACATTTTAAACCGTAAAGATTTTATGTGCAAAAAAACGCCAAAAGAATTATAGGCTACTAGATGTTTTACACAAACTAAACGAAGAATAAAAAATAGCAACAAAATTCAAAATAATTTAAATTAAATTCTATTAAATAGGCTACACCAAATATGCCTATTTTTAATGCATTTAATGTTTTAATCCTCTGACATCTGCTCTGCAGTGCTCCTTACACCGTGTCTACACCGGATATCACGCCACGCCACAACGGCTTTTAACTTTGTGTCAGTACGTCATAAATAGAACAAGGCAAGAGTTTACTGTCGGGGACTTGTTGTGCCGCATCCAGTGTAGACAGCATCACTGGTTATAATGGGTTATTATGACATCCCCCACCCTGTGTTATCGTCAATCGCAGTGTTTAACTGTAGACATCGTCTGATGCCAATTTGGTGGACATCGCCCAACCCTACTTCACACTAGAAGCTTTTGAAACTTGACCATTTCCACTCATTGTTCATAGTTTGTTAGCGCTTCTCAGTCATTGCCGACATGCTGTGTTGTGGTGTTTGTAGATGGCTTCCATGAAGATGTTTCAGATTCAGTTCCATACTGGGTTTGTGCCCAGAAATGCCTCCACCGTCAAATTTGCCAAGTAAGTTTCGCATTGCTTTTTGAATGATCTCATATCAGTTTTTTGTTTCTGTTGTACTTCAAAATATGATGCTCTTTTAAAATGATGGTGCTGCGTGTATTTGCAGGTATGATCTCGATGCTTGCGACATCCAGGAGAAATACCCCGACCTCTTCCAGGTGCATGTAAATGTGGAGGTGGAGCCTCAGGATCGCCCTAGCAACAAGACTCCGCCTTGGGAAAACTTTGCCACAAAAGGACTCAATCCCAAGATCCTTTTCTCCAGCCGAGATGAACAGCAAGAGATCCTGACAAAATTTGGTGAGTTTTGAGTGTAATGTGATTATCAAACTTGTAATGATCAGTGAATACTGGGCATTTATGGCAAGCGAATGCTTATGATCCACTGTTGGTGAATTATGACAGTATGTACTTAATGGTGTTTATATTGTAATATTTTGTGGATGATTGTAAGAGTGCATATTTTATCTCATTTTTTTGAATGAGCAGCTGGAAGTAGTAAAGCATAGACATTTCAAAATAAGAGTCCCTGTCCATTTTAGGCTTGTTTCTAATTAAAAGTAACACATTCTTGTTTTTATTCTATATATTATTGGTATTTGGTTACACAGTAAACTCTATCTAGCATTTAATTCTTCCCTGTCAAAGGAAGTAAAGACTAAGAACATTATTTAACACATTCAGTATATAGATTTTACTAGTTTTGGCTAAATAATCTGTATACATAGATGCAAACTCCACACCTTTCAGTGACAACTAAATTTTTTTAGATCAAAATAGGTCACCTATGAGATTCGCTTGGATCCAATGAGAAAGTGTTTTAAAAGAATAAGCGATACATTATTTTGAGATTGCATAGGTTTGTTCTGCATGGACATATGGTATTAATTTTATTTGTAAAAGTTTTAAAAACTACCCTGTCCTTGTTTTCCAGCTTCATTATGATACTACACATTTCCTATTAGTTTCAGCTGTTTTGTATTTAATCTTTCTGATTGATCAGGTAAACCAGAGCTTCCACGTCAGCCTGGTTCCACAGCCTGTTACACCTCTGAACCGGCCCAGCCTGAAGGGCCACAGACCGACCCGGATTCCCCTTCTCCTCAAAGCACTGACACCAATGCCAACTTCTTCCAGACGCTTGACTGGGAAGGTATACAGCACATTTAAAACTTTTTTTTTATATGAATGAGAGCACAAAATTCATACACTTTTTCACAGTTTCCCTGCCAAGTGTTAGTTGGGTAACACATTAACAATTCTTAACAATGAGAAATACATACACAAAAACAGTATACATTAATCTTTGTTAACATCAGTTAATGAAAGTACAACTGTCAATTGTTAGTTCAAAAATCCATTGAATATTATAAACATACAACTTTTTATTTTAATAATGTATTAGTAAATATTGAAATTAACATTAAAATAAATGTTTTAGAAGCACTTTTCATTGATTGTTCATGTTAACAAGCGCAGTTAATTAATATTAAAGGGTTAGTTCACCCAAAAATGAAAATTAGCCCATGTTTTACTCACCCTCAAAGCATCCTAGGTGTATATGACTTTCTTTTTTCAGACGAATCCAGTTGGAGTTATATTAAAAATTATCCTTGCTCTTCCAAGCATTAGAATGGGAGTAGGCAGTTTTTGTTCAACAGTCCAAAAGACGTCAAATAAAGCGCGCGGATCCACAATAAAACGTGCTTCACACGGCTACAGGGGGTGAATAAAGGCCTCCTGTAGCGAATCGATGCGTTTTTGTAAGAAAAATACCCATATATAAAATGTTATAAATATTTTTTTCTCACTTCTGCTAACTGTCGTACGTGGCAGCCGTTCCGGCGGATGACGTAGAATGAACGCGTTTGAGCATTTGCCGGTGATTAGTGACGAACGTGGAAGCGCGGAGGAGAGAGAACAAAACAAAACGCCCGTCACGAATTAGAAGCACAAAACAAGGATTTGTAAAGAAAATTTTTTGAGGATTTTGATATAAGCCAAAGGAGACTGGTTTTCCTTTGCTAAAGTAAGGAAACTTTGCTTCCTTTGCCCCTGTAAACAAACTCGTGAGACTAGCATATCTCAGAGGCGTGCGCGACACATACGTCCTACGTCATCCGCCGGAACGGCTTGCACGAATGACAGTCAGCAGAAGTAAGAAAAAAGTATTTATAACATTTTAAATATGGATATTTTTCTTACAAAAATGCATCGATTCGCTACAGGAGGCCTTTATTCACCCCCCGGAGCCGTGTGAGGCACGTTTTATTATGGATATATGCGCTTTATTTGACGTCTTTTGGACTGTTGAAAAAAAACACCCGCCTAATCCCATTCTAAAGCTTGGAAGAGCAAGGAAAATTTTTTATATAACTCCGATTGGATTCGTCTGAAAGAAGAAAGTCATATACACCTAGGATGCCTTGAGGGTGAGTAAAACAAGGTCTAATTTTCATTTTTGGGTGAACTAACCCTTTAACAACCTTATAGTAAAAAAGTGTTACCATTAGTTGTCTCTGCACATTAAAGATGAAGTGTTTAACTTTTCGTAATGTTAAAATTAGTAATTTTTATTTTACAGGGTTCAACATTTCACTCACATTTACGATATGTGTGAACTGTAAAATGTATTTAAGAACATGTGTGCAAATATAAAAGTAGGTCCACGTGAGTCCTTAAAGTGTCTTAAATTCAAATGTAAGGTTAATTATAAAGTCTTAATTATCTTAAAAATATACAAACCAAATTCTTAATTATCATTTTAGAAGATCTTAAATTCAGGTCTGGAAAACAGGAATTGTGATACATCTTAATGTGATTATTAAACTTCAAAGGCTGTGATTTAATTCAATAAATGTGAGTGCTGCACATTTTAAAGTCAAAACAGGCTATTTAAAAGAGCAACTGGAATTAGTAAATACATTTCAAAATAAGAGTCCCATCTGGTTATTGGTATTTTGGTTATACAGTATCTGTACAGTAGATTCAATGTTTAAAATATAAATAATTCAGTTATTTTTAAAGCAGAAAATCAAAAGATCTAGTGTACTTGTAGTTAAAAAAAAAACACTTTATTAAGGAAAATGATTTGATAAATTCAAATTAAACCCTCTTTGCTGAATTTTATGGCACATTTTGTTCCCCAATGGCATTTATTACATAGAAAGTGATTTTATGTCATTTGCATGCGGAGCATCATCTTTTTGCCAACCAAAGCACTTTTATTATGTTTCATGCACTTAAATTAGCTGTCCTGCATTATGGTGTATTTACAGATGGCAGTCGGCAGTTCGATTGTTCTGACTGCCAATTGGAGGACCAGGATGATTTGAGTGGCGGCTCGGAAGAGGAATCAGTGTCTTACTCCGCCCCCATTGACGGGACTCTGTCACGTGACACTAGTGAACCACTCTTCGAGGCAGACTTCACAACCACACCACCTGACCCTCAGCCCGACACAGAGGACCTGCTCGGCCTGAACTCTGACCCTGGTCCTCCAGCCTCCAGCACTCAGCCGTGCGTTGCTAATGAGACGGGTTTAAAAAGTTCTGCCAGTAACAGCGATTTACTGAACGACCTGTTTGCCCCTCCACCCAATGCTGTGCCTTCAGCTAATGCAGAGGACTTCATAGGAGAAAGTACAGGAGAAGATCTCTTCTTCTCCAACACATCCAGCCAACCGGCATCAACCGCTAATAAAGGTAAGAGAGATTGTGTATGTGAATGTTTAAATGTACTGTTTAGTACCAATAAACTGGTAATGAAATGGTTGCAGGTTTGACACCTGGAAGATATTATTTACCTTAAAGTAATTACCTTGAAGTAATGCATTTGACCCAATGTTAAAGTGGGACCATCTTTGTATTAAAAATGTACTGCAGCTTGCTTTAAATAAAATTACAACAAATGAAATACATTAATAAGTATATATTTTTTTAAAAAGTAAAAAATCTAAAGACATTAATATTTTGGTTAAAGAAGGCCTGTTTTAGGAACAATTTGCATTATGCCACAATTTATTTTCCTCTCAAATTTTATATATATATTGTGACATTATATATTATATTGAGACATTATTTATGCATAAATCAGCGCATTTTTATTGCGCTGATTTATTTTTATGATTTATTTATATTAAATAAATAGTAAAATATAAATAAAGAAATTAATATTTATGATACATACAGGAAGGCAAAAAAGCAACAACATCAAAAACAAAGTAACATTAAATAATTCAAGCAAAAAGGAGGTAATGATAAAAATAGAAAATACTGCTATAGGATTATGTCCATTATTGTATTAAAGAAATTAGTCACCAGTGAGAAGAATAATGAAAATATGCATCACAGTAATGAGGACAGACGAAATACAGTAATTTAAAATAATTTCAGTAAAATTGGTTCAGTTGTCTATATGCAAATATAATTTTGTATTTTTTGCTTTTGATGTTGGGGTAAAATATCACCTGGACATGTTCTTTGACGTTTTCTCAGTGTTCTTATTAATTTATTTATTTATTTAACATTTTATGAATGTGTTTTCAGTCGGTCTAAATTACACTGACTTTCTTTCTGTAGACTTCTTTGACCCCTTCGGTGTGGGGTCAGCGTCTTCAGGCTCCGATCTGTTTGGTGACCTCCTGGGGTCAGACAGTGCGAGTAGCGGCTTCAAAGCTCCAGCTCCTGCATCCAACTCCAGCCTCTTCAACCTCAGTGAGTTCTGCTCTGATATACTTACAAATCAAAACATTGGAATACTATAACATGTTATTCAGTATAATTTATTATTGTCTTAGTATTTAAAAGGACACAAAAATTGTGGCTAATGAGAGGATTTTTTTTTCAGTTAGTCCAAGTTAATTTGTCAATTTAATTATTTATTATTATTTTAAATATAAATAAACATTAGTTTACCTCTGAAATATGTGTTTGAAATGTTTTGTCAGATAAGTTAGCAAGCGAGACTCCTAAGATGACATCGTCAGCGAGTCAGCCTGATCTGTTAAGTGGCTGGGAAAAATGGACCACAGGAGGAACCAGCACGACTATTAATGTGACCACTGCTGCCAGCAAACCCACTATGAGTGGTAATCAATCGGTCATTCAGATAACCACACCTTAAATCGGTCAAAACAGTCACTTGGTTAAATTGGTAATACTTTATAATAAGGTCTAATTTGTTATCATTAGTTAATGGATTAACTAACATGAAGTAACATGGAGCTATATATTTTGGTTACACTTTATTTGAAGGTTTCTTTGATACAATGTAAATGTAGAATTTATATTGGAGTAATACTAATTAACAACATGTACTTGGTATAGGATCAGGGTTTGGTTTAGGGTTATTTGTTAGGATGCACAGTATTATCAGAACGTTATCGGAATTGGCCGAAAAGGTACCACTGCATTGGTCTGGAAAAAAACGGAGTGATTGTTTTGTTTTTTTATAGTTATTTTCAAAGCTTTCAATGTACTCTCATTATAAAAATAACTTTTATTATAGTTTTAGTAAAAAAAAAAAATTTTTACAATCTCTGCACAAAAGAGACTTGGTGTTGTTTTGTAACGAAAGGAAATATAGCAGTATCGGCATCTGCTATCAGCCAAAATAAGTTTATCATATCGGCATATTGGATATTGGCAGAAAACTAATATTGTGCATCCCAAGTTATTTGCTTGTAATTCACTATTTACAATTTACAAGCTATTAATTTGCTATTTACTATTATATAGCATAATTTACTATTATTACTATAATAAGTACCTGCAACGTGTAACAAGGACAAAAAAAAGTGCTACCTTAATTTCTAGTTTATTAACAGTAATTTATTAAAGGGGTCATATGGTGCAATTTCAAGTTTTCCTTTCTCTTTGGAGTGTTACAAGCTGTTCATGCATAGATAAGATCCCTAAATTTGCCTCAAGTCTCAAGCCCAAAGAGACATTCTTTATAAAAGTTAAGACTCGTCCACGCCCTCCTTAAACGCCTCATTTAAACACGCCCCCACATGTCTACGTCACGATGTGGGAAGATTTGCATAACTCATTTCTCCGATCACAAATGCAGACATGGTTTTATGTTTACGCGGCGCAAAACGCAACGCGTAAAAAGACAGTCTAAGTCATTATAATCCGTAATTATATCCGCACTGGATGCAGCAGATGCCTCATTTGTAATGGGTTTTAATGTTTTTGTCTCGTCGCGCCGGGACACGCTTTTTTAACCTTAAACCGCATAAACACATTGCATTACACCAAATACACCAAATAATGTTCTTTTTTAGCAACATCATATGACCCCTTTAAATGTCCATGTTTGTTCACAGCTTTTATTTATGTATCATTGAGATACTGTTATAGTTACTATTAATATTTTTAATTGGTTGTTTTTACATTTTCTGTTTTCATTTAAATTTTAGTCAAAGTTATTTATACAGTGGTGTGAAAAAGTGTTGGCCCCCTTCCTGATTTCTTATTTTTTTGCATGTTTGTCACACTTTAATGTTTCAGATCATCAAACAAATTTAATATTAGTCAAAGATAACACAAGTAAACACAACATGCAGTTTTTAAATGAAGGTTTTTATTATTAAGGGAAAACAAAACCCAAAACTACATGGCCCTGTGTGAAAAAAGTGTTTGCCCCCTAAACCTAATAACTGGTTCGGCCACCCTTAGCAGCAACAACTGCAATCAAGCGTTTGCGATAACTTGCAATGAGTCTGTTACAGCGCTGTGGAGGAATTTTGGTCCACTCATCTATGCAGAATTGTTGTAATTCAGCCACATTGGAAACATGCAAAAAAATAAGAAATCAGGAAGGGGGCAAACACTTTTTTCACACCACTGTAGTACTATATATAGTACTATACTACTATATAGTCTATATACTATTTTCATTCATTTTTATTTAATTTTTGATTTTAGCTATTTTAGTACATAAGATAAAATGGGAAATGTTGCCTTGGCAACTAGCTGAAATATTTATTTATATTCGTTTGAAGTTTATTTAAAAATGTTTTTTTTTTGTTTTAGAGCTAGTTAACTGTAATAACCCTGGTTCACAGTGCATTAACATTAACTTTGAAATGTGTTAGTAAATGTTGAGATTGAAGCTAAGATTAAAAGATGCTTTTGTTTATTGTTAGTTCTTGTTAAGAAATGTTGTTACCTAATGTTACCAATTGATACGTAATTGTAAAATGCTAATGTTGACTCTGGTCATACAATTAAACACTTCCTAAGTTGACTAGCAAATCAGATTTCTGTTTAATCATTAGAGTGCTCATAAACCAGTTGCGGCAGCCTATAAAGCATTTAAAACATTAATTTTTTTTAATCCATTGACTTTGTGTTTGTGCAGCCTCAGGAGTCTCATCTTTCTCCAAGGCCAAATCTCAAAGCTTTGACCCCTTCGCAGACCTGGGCAACCTGGCCTCAACACTACCTGGTATGTTTCACTCTGTAAAATTTACTTTGTTTACTCTTTACCGGACTGCTTTCTCATATATCGCTCATATCACGCAACTATTATACTATTTACTATTATACAGCATAATTTACTATTATTACTATATTATTAGTATTACTATAGTGAAAAGTGTGATAGGCCAGTCATAGCGCAATGGAGGCAGTGCCTATATTATTATTATAATATATAATATAGTATATACTATACTATATTATTACTATAATAAGGGAAGTCGTGGCCTAATGGTTAGAGAGTCGGACTCGTAACCCAAAGTTTGCGAGTTCGAGTCTCAGGTCCGGCAGGAATTGTAGGTGGTGGGAGTGAGTGTACAGCGCTCTCTTCCACCTTCAATACCACGACCGAGGTGCCCTTGAGCAAGGCACCGAACCCCCAACTGCTCCCCGGGCGCCACAGCATAAATGGCTGCCCACTGCTCCGGGTGTGTGTTCACGGTGTGTGTGTGTTCACTGCTGTGTGTGTGCACTTAGGCTGGGTTAAATGCAGAGCACTAATTCCTAGTATGGGTCACCATACTTGGCCACATGTCACTTTCACTTTCAAGTACCTGCAACGTCAACTAACCTGATTTGTGTTTAGGTTCGTCCAGTGCTGGTTTCTCTGGCTCAGATTTTAAAACAGCGCCCTCTGCAGGAATCCCTAAAAACTCAGGTCAGCAGTGGCAGCAGACTCCTCGGCCCTCCTCTGGCCCAAGCAAACCCTGGATGCCTCCAAACTCAGCGCCTAGACCCTCCAAACCTGCTACCCAACCGGCTAAACCAAACTACAACCCTAGTTTCAGTGTGATCGGTGGACGAGAAGAGAGGGGGATCCGTGGGCCAGGCTTTGGTACGCTTTTACCAGTTTTAGAACGAATATGCATGAAAAAAATGCAACTATGTATATTTGCAAAAAAAAAAACATTTAATATGACATGTGAGAGGAGGCACTGCCTCCATTGCGCTATGATTGGCCTATCACACTTTTCACCCCATAAATCCCGCCTCTTGTTTTCTAGTGCGTTCCGCATCCACAAAAGAATCTGAATTAGCAAATAAAGGTGTTAATGGGGTGACCAATTAAAAAGCAAGTAAACAACTCATCCACTTAGATATCAGGGCTTTGTCACATCAAAATCCAACTTGAAATGACTTGTAAAGTGTTTTTTTATTGAGTAATCAGTTAAACTTTGGAACATCTCCATGTCTGTGACCCTCATGCCACCTGCAGTGTTTACTGAGCTTTGATGACTAATGACCAAAAATTAAGATTACTTCTAAAAAGCAAATGAAATATAGATGTAATCTGAAATTTGTTTCTGCATGCTTATAGTTATTATTTTGGAACACCACTGGTTTCAGATATCTGATTGTCAGTATTAAAGCTTTAAAATAGTATATTTCTGATCAAGATTAAGTCAGCCTCTCTGGGTGACTAAATGCAATAATTATCATGGACTGTTTGGTGTATTTATCATTCATTAAAGGGATAATTCATCAAAAACATTTTTGGAAAACCATCAAGTTGTTCCAAACCTGTATGAGCTTCTGTTAGGGATGTAACGATTCACTCAACTCACGATTTGATTCGATTCACGGTTTTGATTTCACGGTTCGATTCACTATATATTTTTTTTACAAAATGAGATTTAAGACAAATTATAAATTAAATGTTGCTGCACCTATGAACTTTAATATGCTTTATACAGAGGCAAGAGGAAAATAAAAAATACCATCTAAACTTTTCTAAAGACAGTAAGTTCCCCTCAGACATACATTCATATAAACTCCTACCCCTAACTGAATCGCGATTTGTTTACAATCTCAACCGATTTGAATTGTCACATATATTAATCGATTTTCAACCGGCTCATGGTTAATCGTTACATCCCTAGCCTCTGTTGAACACAAAAGGAGATAATTTGAAGAATGTTGGTAACCAAACAGTTGATGGTAGCCATAGTATTCACATAGTATTTTTTTCCCATACTATTAAAGTCGGTGGCTACCGTCAGCCGTTTAGTTAACACGATTCTGCAAAATATCTTTTGTTTAAGAGAAAAAAGAAACTCGCACAGGTTTGGAACAATTTAAGAGTGAGTAAATGGTGACAGAATTTTCATTTTTGGGTGAACTATCCCTTTAATGCATTTCAGTCATAAATGTGTTGTGGTTGTTATTGTGTTTTTATTTGTGCTATATTGTTTGTTTGTGTCCTTTAGGTCCAAAGCCCAAAGTGAAAGGAGATGACTTTGAGGATCTATTATCAACACAGGGTTTTGGCTCCAAACCCGACAAGAAGATGCCCAGAACTATTGCTGAGATGAGGAAGCAGGAGCTGTCTAAAGACATGGACCCTCTCAAACTTCAGGTACTTCAGCGGAATTTACAAAAAAAAAATTTTTATCTGTTTTTTTTTTTTTCCCCAAGAACATATGTACATGTAAATGTGCTTTGGGCTGGATGATGATGAAGATTCATATATTAGATCTTAGATTGGATCGAGGGGAAGGAGAGGAACATCAGAGCGCTGCTCTCCACGTTGCACATGGTCCTGTGGGAGGGAGAGACCCGCTGGAAGCCCGTCAACATGGCAGATCTGGTCACACCTGATCAGGTGAAGAAGGTCTACAGGAAGGCTGTGCTTGTTGTGCACCCAGACAAGGTATGAAAGATTTATATTCACATATTTACAACTTGTATAAATCGTTTTTGATCCAATAAATCGATATTTTCTAAGGTCAACATGAAAATTGACTCTTAATTGACCCTTAAGTGTTATTGTACACAGTTTGTCAGTGCACATTTTTCAAAAGAATTAAATTTTTTCTTAAAAATGTAAAAACTTGGCCTCTAAATTTTTTTTTCTGCTGACAGCTAAGGCTATGCAGGTGGAGAAAATCATTGTAATCAATAATACCACAGTCTTAACACAATCCAATCAATTTAAATCATGTTTATTGTATGTATGTATTTATTTGTGTTTATGATGTATTTATTTGTTCATTTTTGTTTCTATTAATTATTTGATGCTTATTATTTATTTATTTTTTAATTATTTATTGTTTTCCTTTCAGACTTGAGAATTTGGGGGTAAAAAAAGTAAAAATATTTACTTTTTTTATATTTTCTTAATATATTGATTGAACAATATATGATTTAATCAAAACAATATCTAAATAAATAATATGGATACAACTGTTTATTAAAATAATAAACAAACAAAAATACACAAATAAACATCAATAAATTAATAAAAACATAAATAAACAAATACCTAAACAAATAAATATATCCATACATACGATAAACATTTTATTTTATTCTTTGATTAATATTAATTCATATTTGTATTACTGGCAATTCATTAAAATTATTAATTGTTTCCTTTTCATTTCAAACGAGAATTTCAAGGGGATTTTTTTTTCAAGAATATATATATAAATTAAGCAATATATTAATTATTAATTTAAAAAATAATAATAAACATTACAAATATTTATTGATAGTAATACAGTTACAGTATTGATAGTAAAAAAAAAAAAAAAATTTTTTGTATTAAAAAAGTATTTAAAAAAAAAACTTTGTAATTAATGAAAGTCCAAAAATCTATATAAAGATTCATCCATCCATATGTATGTTGATTATTAAGAAAATAAATAGAGTCATATCTGATTTAATTTCAGTGCTAAAGAATTCTAATATGGAGCTATGAAGAAATAACCTGTTTTTCTGGTCTTCCAGGCTACAGGTCAGCCGTATGAGCAGTACGCTAAAATGATCTTCATGGAGCTGAGCGATGCCTGGTCTGAGTTTGAGAACCAAGGAGCCAAAGCCCTGTTCTGAGCGTGCTCAGTGAGCATCTGCCAGGAGCGGCGGGCCCCCTACAGGCAGCCTGAGGCTTGAGGAACAGTCTAATCTCTTCCTGAACTCTGGAGTGAAACCTGTGGCGCTGGATCTCTCATCCTTCAAAAGGGGAACATGCTAGCATCCTTTTGGCATTTGTAGATGATTAAAAACCATGCGCGCACACACAAACACCTGAAAATACAGTCTGTGTCTTGCACTTCAAAAGAGCTCCAAAACAGATGGTTTCTGGGATGAAGACGAAATGACTATCGCTGAACTTTTTCCATGTCATTCTATGCATCACACTATTGTTTTCACTTTTTGTTTTTCAATCAGTGTGGCTTGTCACTTACTGATGTAAATAATCACTCGACTGTGTGTGTGTGTGTGTTTGAGGGTGGATCATGTTCATATGAAGCTAAAGCAGAGGTTTTGACTTCTGTGCTCCACGACGTGAAGGCTTCAGTTTTGTCATGTTTTCACTGATCTCTAGTGTTAATTCTCTCCAGGCACCTCGTGGGAAGGTGTGTTTGTGTATTTGTGGGTTCAGGGCTCAATTTCTGCTGTCCAAAGGGTATTTCAGTGACCGAAAACAAACTTAACAAAAAGTGTGAGTTTTCCATATTTTTTTTTTTTTATCTCAAGGACCATTCAGAAATGTCTGTGTTATTTATTGTTCTGAAAGCTGTACATGGCTAATTGGTGGATATAAAAAGGACTAAAATAACAAATTTATTGTAAACGATGGAAGAAACAAGCTAAGCATTTTGCAAAACTAAAATCATTCCAAAGCATCTACTAATATGAATGTAAGGTTGTGAGTTTTCCATATTTTTTTTTTTTTATCTCAAGGACCATTCAGAAATGTCTGTTATTTATTGTTCTGAAAGCTGTACATGGCTAATTGGTGGATATAAAAAGGACTAAAATAACAAATTTATTGTAAACGATGGAAGAAACAAGCTAAGCATTTTGCAAAACTAAAATCATTCCAAAGCATCTACTAATATGAATGTAAGGTTGTTGTTTTTTTGTACTATTTTCCACAATTTTTTATTTTTTATGTTTCCATAATCTCTTAATAATGACACTAGAACATTTGCACCAATCCCTCAGGACATCAGGCCAAATTCAGTGTCCAATTGAAAAAAAAAGTCTGATAAAATAATAATAGACAATTATAACAGACATTAATAGACAATGAAGTGAGGGTGGAAATTTATGCTGTTTTTATATATAGACCTATAGTTTGAAATATTTCATCTTATAAAAAAAAAAACAATCAAGGACTGGAAGAAAATGCTGATTGGTAAAGACTTGGCGAGTCGAGTTCTGTAACCTGCTGTATATCTGCGATTCTTCATGTCTGATGCTTGGAGGCGATGTGGTCTGACTAAACAAAACCAAATCCTTCATCCGTGTTACCGGTTTCTGAGCAAAAACATTTGCAGTTAAAGGGACCGAGGGACTGGTTCAGATTGTTGGTTCAGTGTTTTTAGTGATTTTGGAAATGTTTTGGCTTATTCACCCTCCACCAAAGTCATAAACGATCATAAATGTTTCAAACTGCCATTTGTGTTCAAAATCTTTATTGGTTGCATAATTGGTGAATATGTTGAATGGGCTCTGATTTAAATGAATGACTTAATTTAGTCTATAAATAAATGTTCTTATTCTGTGAATATATACTTATCTTCCCCAAGAAATGAACAATGCTGCTGCATTTTGGTGGAGCGTGAATATCTTCTAATAAGACACATTTTCAATCTTTTTGCCCACTCCGCTTTTCTTTGGATGTCAAACTAGTGTTTCTCACCAGCTGTCTCCTGCAGTGGAGAACAAAATCATAATACCACGGTCTTAAAATATATTTTTGTCATATTTTCTTTTGTCAAATTTTGACCAATAAACCATAATCATGGTTTGAAGGTTTGGTTATCTTCTCTCACACTCTTTTTTTTCTCTCTCTCTCTCTCACTCTCTTTTTAATATTAGTCATTCGCGTTTTAGTGCCATGTAAAAAAAAAAAAAAAAAGAAAGTAGGGCTGGGTAAAAAATATCGATATCTCGATATTAATCTATTGTTTTTTACGGAACGATATCGGTTCTTAAATCCCAAGAATCGATTAGTCTAGACTGTTTTCAGTTAATGGACGGAACATTGAAGGGTACTTACCATCCAATAAATCGCAATAAGCATTGTGCTTTGGTGCTTTTTAATATGAAACAAAGTCTCAGGTTTCAATTTAATTGCAGTATTCAAACAATAAATGCCGTTTTGGCGCTGTTTAATCTGGAGTGACACATCGCTGTAGCGCCTCAGTTTAACAGACGCGGCAGCGCGTAGTGCACGTGACAAGGGTACTTACCATCCAATAAATCGCAATAAGCATTGTGCTTTTTAATATGAAACAAAGTCTCAGGTTTCAATTTAATTGCAGTATTCAAACAATAAATGCCGTTTTATTTCCTCCGCGCAAAGACGTCAGTATAACAATGTCAGGTAATGTCACATTTACCTCAGAAACAAACATATTCGGTGACCATAAACTCGTTTGTCAGCCAGAAAAATAAACTGTAGAGAGGGTCATTTTGCTAAATATATGCACCATATAACATATTCAATCCGAAGGTAAGTTAAAAGAAAGAGTACAACTTTACAATACATATCCTGTCTCATGTAATCGCTCAATCAGTATTTCCTCCGCGCAAAGACGTCAGTATAACATCTTGTAAACAATGTCAGGTAATGTCACATTTACCTCAGAAACAAACATATTCGGTGACCATAAACTCGTTTGTCAGCCAGAAAAATAAACTGTAGAGAGGGTCATTTTGCTAAATATATGCACCATATAACATATTCATTATAATTTTTACTGTTCTTATGTTTAATTTATGTTTGAATAAATCCATCAATTTTTTTATGACAGCCACCATTTATTTACATTTTTATATATAAAAAAACGAATTGAAGTAGAAATATTATGTAATTGTAACTTTATTATTTAAAAAACTTAATTGTGTAATTTTAACAGTTGTATGCTATAGCTTACAAATCAGTCAATTTTAACCTTCAATATTATAGCAATGTAGTACCAAATGACTCATGTATATTTTACAGCAGTAGTTGAGAGATTTTTTTTCCTTGAGAGAATTTGGCATACAGTACTGTACCTGATACATATCCAAAGTAATCGGTATCGAATCGAAAGCTTGTGAATGAGAATCGAATCGAATCGTGAAATTTGTGTCAAAACCCAGCCCTAAAAAAAAGTGTCACCTAATGATAATGCGTAAAAATTAATCAGTAAAATTAATGTAAGAGAATTTACGTCTGCATGGCGATACCTAATGTATTTAACTTAAGGTGGAATATTTGTCATTCAGGTGACGTTATATTTGAAACTAATATGTGACCCTGGAGCACAAAAGCAGGCATAAGTTGCACGGAGATATTTGTAGCAATAACCAAAAATACATTGTACCAGGGTCACGTGTTTTTTTTGCAGTATTCAGTACTGTGATCAGCATGCAAGTTTTCTGTATTTCAAAATCTATTTAACTCAGTCGATTATCGATTAGTTATACATTTTAAACCGTATGCAGTACGCTAGTGCATCATCGTGGTCTCAGTTTCACGCAGCTTCTGTGACTTCATCATTGACCACAACGCTCTAGAGACTTGATCTTAAATGCAACATAATTTAGCTTTACTCTTGACCTTTTACAAAATTATACTAATGCAACGTTATACCCTCAATACAGCTTAAAAAGTAAATAGGATTTTAAACTTGTATGAATAAAGTGCTCGTTCTAACAGTTGCGCTAGACGTCTATCAGTAACGTACTAATCAACTAAAATGGACTACAGTTCAATTTAGGACCATCAGCCATGCAGCAAATCTCTCGATCACCAAACCTTCTCTAATCATCTCGGGTTTTAACCGATCATATAAGGAAAATTGACAGGATCACATGAGGAGTTCGCTAGCTTGTTGATGGTCGACTGCGATGTGTGAAGTAAGCTACTGAACCAAGCAGTAACTTACGACTTTAAAATAAAAGTCCCGTTGCAGTGATTTACAAGACCGCTGGGGACGATATACATTTTTAATATGCAAAATATAAATGCAGAATATTTCTACAATTCCTAATGTATAAAAATGTTATATTCTGCATTACATTATACTTAATTTACATTATACTAGTAAGCAGACTTTTATCCAGTGACTTACAAATGAAGAAAAACAAGTGCAAGACCCAACAACATTATCATGAACACAATGATGAGTTTCAAATAGTACAAACACTACAGCAGCAATATATCTGCAGAAAAGCAAAAAAGATTGTTTAAGTTTTATTTATAAACTCAATTCCATTCAAATGTATTAGTGCTTTCCACAATAGGCTATAGATCATTCCAAAAAAGTAAACAAAGCAAGGGTGACATCAACAAGACTTACTGTGATTAAGAATGACTGTAGCCTACTCTAGTTTATTACTGTACGTCCATCTGAAGTTGAGGGATGTGGTGATGAGGTACATCCATGAACTACAGTGATTGTGCATGTGCACTGGCTGGTCTAGCCTGAATAATATGCTTTTTTTAAAGGTATATGAGCAAAACTAATAACTTTGATGAGACAGTTGTTGTCAGATTTCATTGGTGATTTCAAATATGAAATGTATTTGTAAGCTTGGGGAACAGTTTTAGAGAATTCAATGTTTCCCCATTCAAAGAGATAGGAACTGCACTTGCATGCCCGAGAGGTGTTTCAAAGATGGTCACAGAGTGAAATGACTTGTCCTAAAGGGACTTTGGTTAATAACAGTACAGCTACTGGACCTCAGGATGGACATCCCATGGTGTGGGCAGAGAGACATAATGTTCAGTGCAAAAAAGGGGTTTTCCAAAAGCTTCATCACTCTTTTTTGCTTTTCCTCTTTGATCTAAAACAGCAACGCATTATGAATAATTTGCACATTTTAAAGAAGACGTAGAGAACTACAGTGAGGACAGTGATGAGAAAAGCGAACACATCCAGACAGTGGTACTGGTACCAGGTAAGGTTGTGGGCCTCGACACGCAGGTGTTTAGCGCCTTTATTGCGCATGACGAACTCAATCCAGAACACAGACTCATCCAAAGGCTTTACTGGTCTGTCATGATGAATCCTGGACAAATGCAACACATTCTCTTTATACCTGCGGAGATGAAGACAAATACTGTTATATGTCTGTGTATGCTGTGTGTAGTGCAATAGAGAACATAGAGCCATCAAGATATCTAGACTGATGTCCAGAGTCCTGTTATGCACTGGCACAACTGTAAATCTGATATGAGTGACTCACGAGGGATCATTAATGACGGCATTGAGTCCATCCACCAGGTCTTGCGGCTCCATGGTTTTGATGTTGTCTATAACAACAGCAGCACCTTTTGCCTTCATATGAACTAAATTATCAGGCTGGTCAGCAAACAAGGGGATCCCGACCATTGGAACTCCATGATATATGGCCTCATATAAGCTGTTAGTGCCTCCATGAGTGATGAATGCTCTGGTTTTAGAGTGACCTGATCAGGAGGTAATGGATGATTAAACAAGGA